TAAAATAGTCTGTCTTAATCAGAATAAAACGCTCCCTTTTACATATTTTTATTATTTTTCAGAGGAAAATATTAAATTATTGTTTCCCCTTCCATACCCTATACCGGAACCTGAGCGCATTATGCTCATTCTTACTTATTGTTTTTCAGAAAAATAAGTTTAGTGGTGCGAAATGTACAAAGGACAAACATAAATCTCCAAACACAGCTAGGTGACTGGTGAGCGACCGAAAAAATCCGCCTGGTCCGGGTATCGAACCCGGGACCTCTCCATTACAAGTGGAGCGCTCTACCAACTGAGCTAACCAGGGGTAGACCCTGGTTAGCTCAGTTGGTAGAGCGCTCCACTTGTAATGGAGAGGTCCCGGGTTCGATACCCGGACCAGGCGGATTTTTTCGGTCGCTCACCAGTCACCTAGAAATGTACCTCCATAAGGAAACGCCCTCAGCAGCTATAGACCTTTCCAATGTTTACAAAATCACAGTCCATCGTGCGATCTTCATAGCCCAGCACGTGCGTGTTCGTCGCTTCGAAAGGCGAACAAAGCACGCGCAATAAGCACGAACCCTCAAAATGACACCGGCCACACGCTCTATTTTTTGGAAAGTCTACTGGCGACGTGCGGGACGGAAAACGTCGCTGTGGTCGGCCGCCCATGATTGGCCGAATGCTGACTATGACGTCAGGAGAGGATTTCTCATCGACAAAAATAAGATGCATGTAAGAGCTTGAATTTTGATGGTGTTGGCAGTGTCGCTTTGAGAGGGTAACGATTTCAAGCCTCCATAACGCTCATTGCAAACACCATCGAACTTGTTGTTTGCAATATAATGACGTCACGAAAGGGAGCCATGGGAGGGCGCCACCAAAATATCTCGCCGCTAATAGGCCACAATGGACCTTTGTGGAAAAAAGAGCATGCCTTCACGCGGTGCGCGTGAGGCATTATGGGAACAGTGAGGGTCGCTGTTCCGTCGCCTGCTGTGATGTTTTGAGGGCACCCACAACGAAAATCGCCCACTGGGCCCTTTTCGATTGATGCGTTGCGCGACCATTCTCACTTAACGTTCTTCGGAAACAGATAGGCCATATATAACAGGTGACAATATTTTAGGGTATTTTGGTCGCACCCTGGCACGATGAACGTCTGTCCAAGTTGACAAGCTCCGAGAAAAAAGTGACGCGCTGCCATTCGCTGCCGCGTAGTGGCGCTCGTGTCCAAATCCGCCCGACCCGTTCGGTCTGACTTGCCTCGGTACCCGTGGATACGCCATGAAACATCATTTTCGTGTGGGTTCACAAAGTGTATTACTAAGGACTGTTGCCACGGTGATAAGGTCCGGATTGAGACAACATTTACTGGAACTTTTGAGGTAAATTTACGCCCGCCGGACGTTCTTAGTTTTGGCAGTTTTCCAGTATTCGGCACCAAGGCAAGCAGCTCGGAAAAATGGCTGCGTCTATCGTTCGTGGTTTCCGGCACATGGGCCGTTGCGTTTTGGTCGTTTGCGGACTAAAATACCGTGAACTTCCCTGTTCTGGTGTTTTGTGTTTGTGTCACAAGTTCAAGCGTAAACTGCTGTATACATACCAAAGCTGCAAGAGGAAGGAATGACAATTCGAAGACGTCTTCGTGATTTGAAAGAATCGGGCTGCTTTTGTATTTGTTTTCGGCTACGTCGAGGCCTGCTACTGGTGAAAACAACTGAGTTATTTCTCTCTTGTGTTCTTTACGTGTGTGACAACCTCGCTCCCTTGCGTGTGCGTGCAATTTCGGAGACGCGTGAATAAGGAGTAAAACATTTCAAGACATCACTTCCGATCAGCTGATCAGCGCGGATTCGTGTGTGTATATTTGGAGATTTACGGGTGAATGTGCGATAGATATTAGAACCGTTATTTTACCATACCTGCTATAGCTTCGCGGCAACAGTGCACGAATTGTGAGACACCCTCGTTGACTATACGAAACGAGCTCATTTGTGTAAGCGAATGCATGCTCCCTGTGCTTGACAGCAACATGCTTGTTGACGTGTTTATAAGCGCGTGTAAATTTAAATTCGCTTTATGTTAACTACTATTTTCTTGAAGTTGCAGTTGCCCATAAATGATAATGTTCTTTTATTGATTTCGCGACGTTTCTGCGATCTATTGCAAGCCAAAGTAAAGAGATTTTAGCTACCCTGAGAATGCGACATAGGAAGGCTGGGGTGCAAAGACCACTTTTGAAAACTGCAATGCCTCTTCGTTGTAACGGAACTGCTCTTCTACGCGAGATACATCCATCGAGAAATGACGGAGAAGGAGACAGTAGCAAAAGAAAGCTCGGGTCCTGTGGTCGCCAACAACAGGTATTTTCAGTCTTGGTGTATTGCATTGTGCTTGCGATTTTTTTCATGCAAAAAGAAATAAACGTTGCACAGTATTCATCTGTGCAAATCTAAGGCAGAAAACGCATTTTTGTCTGTTTCCTTGACAAGTGGGAGCGTTTATTGAGAACTGCATACGGCGCTGACAGCGCACGTGAGCCCCTGCTTGTGGATGGTGGTCATAGACGAATATGAGAGACATCAGCTATGACATAAATCCCGTTACACTTTGATATTACACGAACATAGAATCGCACTCGGAATAGAGATCCAAAGCTAGATAGATACCCATGCTGCTATCCTATGAATTATACAGTAAAAATTGAAGACATCATTAGCGCGGATAATTTCAATCGTGACTGCAGCAGAATCTACTTGCAGGAGTCTATTTCTTAGAAAGAAGTGCGCAAGGGCTGCCGACGTGCCACCGACCGCCTGATTTCGCGATGAAAAGCCAGCGACCCGAGCTTGCCCAGAGCTTGGCCGGCCTTGAGGACCGGGCGGGCTGCGACGACAGCGCCACCACGCTCGCGCGAACGGAGGGGGCCGGCTTTCCGAAGCGCGGTTAATGCGGAGCTTGTCAACTGAGTTGATCTAGTGACGTTGCGTCTGTCCACTACTTTTTTTTTAGATGGGCCCAGATGGGCCATCGTTCTCTTTTTTTAATTGGCCATCGCGCGTGGGGCCAAGAGCCAAAAGAGCTCAAGGTACACTCAAGCACCCAACGGGATTCTTTTAACATTTTCCTACGGAGCTACTTGTAAAATTTTATTTTCTTCGCCCCCCCCCCCCCCCAAAAAAAAAAAAAGAAAAAAAAAAGAACGCAGTTTGTGCCAACTAGAGTCTAGTTTCAATCACATTCGAAGACCGTTAGCTCGCCTGGAAGCATGAATGGATTAAGAATGGTGCTGAAGTTCGGACGGTAGAGTACGCAACCTAGCATGCAAATGCTCGACTAGGCTATACTTGGCTCGACTCCTGTCATCGACGACGATGACAGGAGTCTGTACCGGGTGGCCGTAGCGATACGTTCTGGCCCTGGAAATGAATGCATCGGGGGTGGCAGCCGTCTGCCTCGACCAGGCCGCCACCTGGAGCCGCTGCCTTCAACGAAGCGAGCGGCCGCACCGTCAACCGCCAGGGCTTTTTCCATTGAGAACGTGCATCGAATGGCCTGCCGAGGGTCGCCTTGGCTAGTTGGCCTTCTAGCCTGAACCGCCGGCCACCGAACCTCCAAGACTCGCGCGGCGGTTCACAAGAGCAGGTCGTCCTCCTCATGCATGCCGTCTTCATCACCACCGGACCGCCAGGAATTTCCCACCCCAACGCACGGTGAAGCCTACGGACACCGCACTGGAGAGCTTTCGTCGACGCTTCTGCCAGCTGGATGGAGGACCGGCCCGGCGAGCAGCCCACTGAAGGCTCTGGGCCCTCATCACCCACAGCATCGGCCCGCAATTTCGCCCTCGGGCTCCATCAGCATTGTCGGCGCCTCCCCTTGTATATACCACCTCATAATCATCATCACTAGACGTGGCACCGCGGGCCTCCATGGTACGGGCTGTCGCCTTTCCGCGGTGCCACGGCTCTCCTGAGCCAATAAAGATTACTACTACTACTACTAAAGGCCTCACAGGTCCCATAATGCCCCTGAGCGCTCACTGGGGGCGTTGGCCGTCCCAGAAAGGTCCATTGCAGCTGATGGGATGTCAATGGCTGCAAGCCACGCAAGGGTTGGTCATGGGGGTCCAACTTTGAGTGACTAACGGGAGGGGCGCCAAAGTTACTTCCGTCCCAGTTAGTACCCCTGGCGACTAATGGTTATGGCAGTTATTTCCATCCCCGGAGGGACTATGTCGCGCTCCCCGTTTTTCTCACAGATGTGGAGTTTCGCTTTGGTTTTGCATTCTCCGTCTATAGACCTGTTCACTTCAATCCGGCATGAAATGTATTCATTCAGTGAGCCGGGATTGATTCCTTTCCTGCTGAATGTAAATTGTTGAAACCGTCGGTAACAACGAAATGCGATGATCAATATATGAGCGCGTCGTTATCAACGCACGCTCATCAGGATTAGGCCCCATTTATCGTCTGCCAAGCACAAAGATCCTGCTTGGGTGGAGTGTGCGTTGAACATGCATGAACGTGCATTTTACCCAACCAAGGGTCTTCTTGGAAAACGATAAAAGGGAGTTACGCACCTTTTCCATGAATTCGTCGCCACATTGAATCGCGGGACTTCCAGTATGAGTAAAAATATCGTTTTTTCTTGCCATGCCGTTAAAAGGCGTTCACGTTTTAAGTGTCCTTGTTTTCCGTCGCCTACATAGAGGGTGTTTGATCTTACTTGGAACAAATTTATTACAAGTCCGTAAAAAGCACACCGTTTGTGCAGGTGAGATACGGTCAGCGGGACATAACTTAATGGGATAATCCTCACGATAAGCCGTATAATTTACTAAAATATCTTAGCTAGCTTTTTAATTTGTGAAAATGAACATGTGATTCCAATTATAATTAACATATCAAAGCGCCGAAAACAACAAAGACGAAGTAAGAAGTAAGACAACACGAGGCGCAAGTTGTTCCACGGCTCATCTTGCATCGGGTTGAGAACCGTCCGTCGAAGCAGTCATGGGAGAACAGAATCCGCTGTGTGTCAACGTGTCCACAACCAATTCCACAACGGAGACCCTGAGCAGGTACGACATGATAAACTGGGTCAACGACTGCCTCCACACACATTACACAAGGATCGAGGAGCTCTGTTCAGGTGCCGCCTATTGCCAATTCATGAACATGATGTTTCCAGGTTGCGTCAACTTGAGGAAAGTGAAGGTCAAAGCCAACCTGGAACACGAGTACATTCAAAATTTCAAGGTGTTGCAAGCCTCCTTCAAGAAAGTTGGTGTCGACAAGAACATCCCCGTGGACCAGATGATCAAGGGCCGCTTTCAGGACAACTTTGAGTTTGTCCAGTGGTTCAAAAAGTTCTTCGACGCCAACTACGTCGGCCAGAAGTACGACCCCATGGAGGCCCGGGGGAGTGCCATCATCTGGGACGGCACCCAGCCAGGGCCCTCTCGCACCGCCCACAACAACAAGGTGGCCGCCAGCAGGCTAGTGCACTCGACCAAGCCGACGACGAGAAAGGCGTCGGGCCTCGACTCCAAACACATTGGCGCTGCCACCCAGATAGCTGGCGGTGCTGCAGGGGGCGGCTCGCAGAAGTTGGAAGATCTCACGAGTCAGGTTTCCAAGCTGAAGACCAAGGTGGACGGCCTGGAGAAAGAGCGGGACTTCTACTACGGCAAGCTGAGGGACATTGAGGTCCTGTGCCAAGAGCGCGAGCAGAGGAACGGAAAGTCGGTGGGCACCGAGAAGATCCTGGAGATCCTCTATGCCACGAAGGAGGGCTTCGCGGTTCCTGAGGATTACGTCGAAGAGGGGGCGGCCGTGGTCGGTAATGACCGGAACGACGAGGAGGAATACTGAGGGCGCCACCGCAGCCTCGAAACGACGGTCATCTGGTATGCACTTCACCAACCGTCCTCTCAAGTTTCCATTTTTCCCGCACGCTTCAGTGCTCTGGTTCGTTTCGTTCCTTTCTTTTCTTTGTCGAGTTTATACCCTATAATAAAAAGAAAAAAAAAATATATTTTGAGAGTACGCAGAGAGAGAGAGAGAGAGAAGTCTTGCAAAAGAGGAAAAACCATCGTTGGAGTTACAGCCATGGGCCGAACGGTCATCGTTGGATTGGGGGGAAGGGAAGGGGATAAAAGCTGATAGAAGAAAAAATTGTGAAAAAAAGAGAGAGGGAGGTTGTTTCGCCAAAGCCGACAAGCGGGGCGCGAGGAGCCACAGAAAGTGGCTGGCAGAAAAGGGGGCGGAGCCGAGGAAGGAAGGAGATCCTTTAAATGTCCAAGTGTCTTGTCCAGAAGCCTGTAGCACATCTTCACAGAGTCCAGGGTGAACGAATCGGGTTCGGCACGCGGTGTCCGAATTTCCAAGCACTGTCACCAGTCACACCAACACCAAGTTTCCCAGTATTCCGAGCCAAAGTGCAATGGGTCGGCGAGCATCTCTCTGCTGCATGTATACACAACACGGCGTTGCGAAAGGATTGGGGGGAACATTAATAGATTCCGTTCCCTCAACAGGGGCGGTCGAGCCTATTGTATGCATAAGGGACATTCCGCAGAGTGCTACGGAATGACATTCTTTGCCTGTGTTTGGCTGAGTGACCCACGCGATTTAACGCGTGGTTCACCAAACGCAAAGGTAGAAATTACTTGTATGGCATTTTCTGAAAATGCCTGACCCTTGGCATGCCTAGGGTTTACTAGCTTCCGAATCTATCATTCGAAAACTTTTCACGGCTGGGCGAGGTTAGTTCCTGCCCATTAAAAGGAAAAAAGAATTCCGAATTTATTATTCGAAACCCTGACTCAGTAAGGTTATTCCTTGCCCGCGAGAGAAGAGTACGCAAAAGTACTTCACTCCATTTCATCGTTTTGATGGTAATGTGGTTTCTCTGCGGCCGACTTTGCGGATAAGATGAACCGTTGAACCAACTAGCCCAATTAAGCACTTGATGACGCTCAGGCTCAGTAAGCTCCAATTAGAAGCTTGCTGAGCCTGAGCGTCATCGAAAACCACTAGGTCAGTAAATTTTAGGACGATTTGAAGCACGTGGTGAGTATGAAAGTGCACCAAAGGTACAAAGGTAAAATTCGTAAAACAGGCGCATAGCAAGCGGCGGAAAAACACGGATGATGATCTAATTACCATCCGCGCAGTGGCGTAACTAGGGTCGACACTCAGGGCGAAAGGCCCCCCCCCCCCCCCTTCCCTTCTCCTCCCCTTTCACTGTTCAGACGCACTCCCTGAGAGCTTCTTTCTGTTTTTTTCTCTCGAGATTTTCAGATAAATCCAAAGTGACGGAAAATTGACTGACCGAGTATTTCTTGGATTTATCCGAAAACACGGAACCCCAGTTATCACCAACTGATCCAAGCAAGTGCAAAGAATGCTTCGTGACACAGAAAATTTTAGTTTCGGTTCGTATTGCAACCAGCTTTTTGGCCCGCTTCCACGTGCCTGCAATAAAATTGTGAAGACTAGAAATCAAGGTATCGGAATGAACAGATCTGCTACGAAGCAACCACTCTGCAAACAGGATCATCTATAGTCACTAACATAGCCTGAGCGGCAGGACGTTCCTCCTGGCACGCGCTCACCGCCTTCCGCCGTGCCCACACAAACGAAGACCATGGAGACCAAAGTCCCTTCTGAGACATTTATTACATAAATTTTACAATACAAAAATAAAGATGCAGTTCTCTTTCCAAGTCCTACAAACCCCTAACTAAGAATAAAAAAGAACCTCTAGCCATATCTACTAAAACCTAGACAGACCTCAAGATTTCTCAGCAACAATCCTTCGGCTCAACACACGACAGCTCTTGCTACTCGACCAGAAAGGCAACTCGCTACCATCACCGACGTTCCTCGACAACATTCTACAAACGTATCCAAGCAACCACGCTTCAAAACCTAAGCTGGTTATCGTGAAAAAGGCTTTGTTTGGGGGCTAGTCTAGCAACAGTGGGTACACCTTAGCAAGGCTTCACTATCAGATGACAGCATCTAAAATCCATACTTGTGTACGTCGGTCGACATGAGCCCAGGAACAGCAGACAATAAAAATCCTGATTAAATTGAAAGCTTAGGATTACGGAAAAAAAATACTGTTGACAAAACAAATGAACAGCCGAGACTTATGGCCTGGGGGATCGAGCGGCCGTGCTCCATGGCCAGCTACACTAATGTGTCAGTTTTTTCGGGAACTTTTTTAGAAACATTATGCACAAACCTTTTTAAGCTCACGTTAAAGGGATGGTAAACCGTTATTTGGATTTAAAAAAAAAATGCTGGAGATGTAGGCGTGACGCTACAATCCCTACAACACTACTAGTAAGGCGATATCTCAAATGGAAGGCCGTATTTTTGAAAAAAGAAGCCGAGATTGAACCAGGCCGACGAGGCGCGTGACCGTCAAGATACCTACTTTTCTCCTTTCTTCGCTTCGCTCCCTCAAGGCCGCGAGGCGGAGAAGACGCGAGGCCGTTCCCTCCCCTTCTCGGAGAAACATGACGTCAACATTCCTGCCAAATGCGCCTCTTTTTTTGAAAAAATACGGTCATCCGTTCGAAATATCGCTGTATGAGTGATGTGTTGGTGTTCGTAGCATCCCGTTGCACGCTTTTGCCGCCTGTTTTGGGGAATCCAGATTAGAAAATGTACCCTGTTAGGATACAACAGGAATATAATTATAACCTAGAAGTGAGCTGAATAGATTATCATGAGCCTTAAATTTAGTAGGAAATACTGAGATAAGGGTAAAAACTCAACTACATTAACCTATGCAAGGAACGTTATATCACTATTATATGCACCTCAAACGCCTAGGACGCTTGTACCCCGCACAGAAATCAGACAGTCTTTACGATTGCTTAAGCACTCTAGCAGGTGTAGCAATAAATATTTCTGCACCTCATGGTAATGCCAGTTCAAACTGACACGCTCTAAAAGCTGCTGCAAAATTAATTATCTCCAGAAACCTCCACTCAGTGAAACCAGTCGATGGCAACCACTCCACCAAAAAATATATAATCTGCTTATACCTAGCAGTGAACTTTGCCCACAACCCAAAAATACAAAAAAAAAGAGAAAAGAATCTGTTGTTCTATTTCAATCTGGCACAATCTTTTTTATACGGCTATTATACTCCGCGTCACTAGTTGCCATCCTTCACTCCTTCACACCAGACATTTTTAAAAATATCCGTTCTCTATACATCCGAGATCAAGTTCCGCATCCCATCAAATAAACATGAATGAAGAAATATTGCCTATTTTATTTATTTGAGCATTTTCTAGCCCACAAACACTTTTTCCGAAAGCATATAACCTGGAAATAGTCCGCGCTCCCCCTTTGCTCCATGCCCCGTGCAAAACCGACTGCGTGAGCAAGACAGCAAGCGGGCCCGCCCCCCCGCCCCCCCCCCTCCCCCCCCCCCCCCCCTCCGCCTTGCCTACGCCATTGCCACAAGGTATTCATTGTTTGGCATGGCCACAGTAGTCAGACGAAGAATATTGAAGCGATTCGATATGCAAAACAACATGGAATCATTATGCTTCGTATTCCTTCACACACGACACACAAGCTACAGCCTCTCGACGTAAGCTTTTTCGAGGCATTCAAAGCTGCCGATCATCGGCTTAACTCTTGCGGATGTTTCACTTGTCAAAGTTGACGCTTTTCACCCACCCTTTATTGTTGTTTTTCATAATTCGTTGAAATCTGCAGCTCACCAAAGCGGACGTATTACTCTTTCAACACAGGCGATTATTTTGGTCTTTATAGGTTTTTTTTTTTTTTTTTTAAATTACGACTGGTCCCAGTCGACTCAGCGGCGAAGTCGTTTACGGCGGTAGTGAGAAATGGAATGGAAAATTTTATTCCAAAACGATCATCGAAACCTAGAAAGTACCCTTCGTGGTATTCTGAAGATCTAATATATTGCATAAAAATATCGCATTGTTGTAAATCGTAAAAATAAATGGATCGCAAATGTGGTATGCTAAGTTTAGCATTTATCGGTCTCTTGTTGAAAAGGTATTTATTCATGACGAGCGTGTGCATTCAAACGCAGTAGAAAATAGTCTTTTCCACACACCAGATAAGTTTTGGAAATTTTCTAGACAACATACAAAAGGTGGTACACGGTATCTGTCTAAGAAGTAATTCTCATTAGCTATCTAACCCGAAGGATATCGCCAACTTTTTTGCAAGTCATTTCAGTGGTTGTTTTTCCTCTGATGTTCCAAAAGATAGTGCATTTCTTGACGATCCTGTCCACTCTGATGTTTGTGCAGTAGACAAAGTCACTGTTAGCGATATCTTGGCGGCTATAAGGAAACTGAAGCCGAAAGTAGCATCTGGTACAGATTATGTGCCTAACATTATTGTTAAAGGTTGCTCGAATCTTTTTGCGCCTATCTTAGAGCATATATTTAACATTTCATTGAGTAAGGCTATATTTCCATCTGTGTGGAAAGAGTCTATTGTAGTTCCTATTCATAAGATGGTGGCAGGGATGGGCAGTATTTCAAATACAAGTATTTGAAATACGTATTTCAAATACTTTGTGTATTTTGCATTTGTATTTAATTACAAATTGGGTAAGGTATTCGACGTGTGTATTTAAATACTAAAACGTGGATATTTCAAATACAATTGTAATTAAATACAATTTTGTGGGCGAAAAAACATCCCTCAAATTTATTGTCACTGTCCAGAGCAGGAAGAAAACTACGATCTGCACCGAATGCAGTGTCTCTCAATCAAGCACAAGCGTTTAGTGACTTTGTGATTACGGTGCTAGTCCAGGGCAAGAATAGTGACGAAATCGACGTTCACAGGCAGGCTGGCTAAATAAGTGCCTGTGACAACTTGTGATGCTTTCCAACCTGATTTCCCTCCATATTTTTGCCTGGAACATTCTAAATGCGCGGGTCGTCCAGATGTTTGTAATTGGTGTGAGTTGCAACAATAATAAATTCTCTAGCTAGTGCTGCGCGTCTTGGTCGTCTCGGTTCTTTGTTGGTCTATACCAAAATGTAATCGACAAAAAAGCTGCTTGAAGCTCTGTACTTTTTTCCCCTATTACGTCCAAGCTGATTACATTTTTGTGATTATATTTCTATTACGTTGCTAGAGCCTCGCACACTAACTCCCGAGTGCGTGATGCAAAATTAGAATGAGATACCCAGAAACCCGTTGCAGGTGCCCTGAAGTCGCTGACGCAAATTTTGAGGAATGTATTTGGAAAAGTATTTGGAGGAGACCAAATACATTTGGTTGTATTTGTATCTTGTATTTAAATACTTTTCTGGAAATGTAATTAGATTTGTAATTAAATACATTTTTGACGAAGTATTTTGTATTTGTATTTCGATACATATTTGCATGTATTTTTTCCAACCCTGGTCCCTGGACGGGGGATACTTCGCAAGTTGGGGACTATCGCCCTGTATCATCGCTATGTTCTTTTTCAAAGGTATTTGAGATAGTGATGCACACCCGTCTGTCTTTTTATTCAAAACGACGTATCAGTTCTTTTCAGCACGATTTTATCAAGGGGCGCTCAGTCGAGACAAACCTTTGTACCTTCCTTGATTATTCAGTACCTTTTGTAATCGCGGTCAAGTTGACGTTGTTTATTTTGACCTCTCTAAAGCCTTTGATGAGGTGAACCACGCTTTGCTGCTGCACAAATTGTCGAGTAATGGCGTTGCTCCTGTGCTTTTATTAAGGCTTAAAAGCTACCTGACTGACCGTCATTGTGTCGTACGCATTTTAAATAACTCCTCTGATCCTTTTTATCCGTCATCGGGAGTACCACAGGGCTCCAATTGGGGCCCACTTTTGTTTTTGATCTTTATCAATGAAATATCTACTTGCGTAGTAAACTCAAACGTGCTGTTATTCGCAGATGATATCAAGCTCTTTTTGAGTATTAGTTTGATCGACAACTGAGACCTTCTTCAGAGTGACGCATCGCATATTTTAAACTGGTGTTGGGAAAATTGATTAATCATTAATCCAGAAAAACTAAGGTCGTGTCTTTCAGTAAAAAACGTGAAATTATAGAGTATTCATACTCAATTGATGATAAGTGTATTTTAAGAGTATCATCGCTTCGTGATCTCGGAGTGTACTTTTGGCTGCCATGTCGCCCATACTGCCTGTTCTGCATTTAAATTACTTGGAATGATTACTCGATTAACTAGAAAGTTTGCGAACTATGCTTGTTGCCTTCGTTTATTTTGTTCTATTATCAGATCGAGACTAGACTTTGGCTCTGTGGTGTGGAATTCACTGACACTACGTGATGCAGCTAAAATAGAATCAGTACAGAGACGCCTTGTGCGCATAATTTATGACAAATACCTTGGCCGGAGGCATTTTTACACCTATGAACTCCTGCTCGACAAACTTGGCCTACAGTGTCTATCCCTCAGAAGATTATCGCAAGATGTGGCCTTCTTGTATAAAATAGTTCACGGGGACATTGACTCAACATTTTTGTTCACAGTGAATTTGAACGTACCGACTCGCTCAAATAGGAGAGCTCTCACTTTTTATCCCCACAATCAACACATGATATCACCAACAACAGGAATGCAGACAAGTGTGAACAATCTTGGGCATGAAAATTTTGATATTTTTGATAGCTACGTAAATCTCAGTAGACAATTAGATGAGATTATTTTCCGTCGCTAAAATGTACTGTCGTGTTTTGTTGCATGCTAGTTTTATCAGTTGAGCATGTTTTATAGCTGTGAAATTTTTTCACTGTGCCACATTGTAGACCTTTGTGGTTGTTGATTGGCAAACATTTTATTTGTGCCAATCAACAACCACAAAGATGATGCTGATGATGATGAGGCATGATGATGATGATGATGATGTGGATGATGGTCAAAGCTACCTACAATAATGCATGCTGCGAGTGGTCGGTGAGTCGCGATGGAGAACGTCATTGAGCTGGTCAACACAGCCTTCGAACGATCCGCAAACATCAGTATCATTACCAGTGGATTTCTGAAATGTGGTGCCTTTTCTCGTGCGCCACTCGATGATCCTGATTTTGACGAAGAACCATTGTCAAACACGGCAGGGCAAGAGACTTCCGGATGACAAGGAGAAGACTCCCGCGCGAATCGCTCTTCGCCTACATGTACTGAAAACAACAAACAGCCAGCTCACAATGAGACGAGTGTGCAAGATATTTCTCCAGTGCCTAGAGTAGAAAAAATGAAAACAAGGAAGTCAGAGACGAGCACCATTTTCACCTCATCTCCTTACAAGGGGAAAAGCTAATGTCACCAAAAGCTTCCAAAAAGCTACGTGGCATTGAAATAAAAAAAAAAAAATTAACGTGAAATTTGAAGGAAGTTTGCTATATTATTAATTTCGGTTGGGACCTCAGGCTGTTGAGCTTAGGTATTCAGGATTCAATTTCCACCCCTGTCCGGTCAGATTTGAATGAGCTTGGCACCCGCATGCTTAAAGGACCCCAAGCTGTCGGTCGTATTCACCGGCTAAATACCTCATATACAACGGAGACATCAGACACTCCTTAGAATAGATTAACTTTCTATTGTATATAAACTTTGATAGAACAAATCACCTAATGAGATCTCTAATCAATAAAATATGCCCGCACGTGACATGAAAAATCGCAAGCACATTGTTCTGAAAAAGAAAAAAAAAATGCCACCATCGCATGTGGTGGAAGCACTTGATGTCGAACATTGAACATTGTTTCATTTCCATTTTGGGGGATGGAGTGCAAAAGAAAAAAAAAAAGCTCTTTTACACAGCTTGACGAGCCCTCGGCACCCTATCGATCTCACAAATATCTGCATGCGCTGACAAAGGAGCGGGCGCGAGCGCGTGGCTTTAAAAAGTGCCTTTGACGCGCGAGTTCTTGTGCAAACAAAGGATCCTGCTGGATTAGGCACACGCGCCATGAGCATTTGTCTACAGTGAACACATTTGTGGAGTTTAGGTAAACGAATGTGGGGTTTCTACTGCACGAGCGTCCGTACAGCCGAGGGCAGTTCTAAAGCAATGAGCGTGCTCACATTGCCTCGGCATCAATCAGTGTGAACGGGAGAATGCAAAACCCAGGTACACGCGAAATGGTAAGTGGCACTAATCAATACGCCGCCCAAGGAAAATCAGTCAGGCCTTCCGCAGCGTGCAGTTCTCCCCGATAACCAATATCCCTTTTCTGCGAGTAAAACATTCGTTATCGGCGGGTGAAAACAAGAGGGACTTAGTTTGCGGTGTAATTCTATTCTTTGTACCTATATGGGCAGAAAATGAAAGCAACAGACATCTCTTGCCTGAATGGGCGCATTATAATCTGCAAAGCACGTGCTTGCACTCGACAGCCATGCAGACAGGCGTCAGAGACGAGATAATGTCCTCTGGCTGGAGATACGGGAGAGCCACAGGCGTTGAAAACCCGAAACCTTCTTCTTCACCAGAGCGTCAAGTGAAACGTCTGAAAGGACACAGGTGCGTTGCACATCTCTGGCAGGATAAACTAGTCCCCAGAGAAGCTGCTGTCCACATCCTGGAGTTTTACTCATCCGGCCTGGTAAGAAATCACGAACTCCTGCTTTGTGTACTGAGCGCGTGTATAGGTGTATACAGTATTCACTGGCGGCCATAGTCAAGTCCGTTACTGCTGGGTGCAAAAATACTTGATAAAAGTATTTAAGTTAAGTTACTAAATCCCTGCTTTATAAAGTATTTAAATACTACTCAAGTTATTTTCACTGTAAAGTATCTTGAGTAGAGTACAAATACTTAAAATGTAATTCAATTACTTTTGAAGCTACTTCCACATTTCGTAATTTGTAGCGACGTCAGTGACGACAAAAATTATACAGCTGCGCAAACCTGGGTTACCAGAATGGTTTATTAGCAAGCAACAACACAAAACGGAAAAACGAAAACAAAGTATCCTAGGGCTATTTTATGCAGTCCAACTATATATGAAGCAGGATATTGTCACGAATGACAAATGATGAGGCGGCGAATAATTGAAGAAACTAAACGTGTAATGGGGCGAACTTGTGCCCAAAACAAAATAGAGAAAAGATAGCGTCACAGGCGTCGATGTTGCCGAAACAAAAGGATCGAGCGCTGGGGCGAGACTGACTCCGGACCGCCACTCGGAGCACCTTTTACACCCGCGTGGGTTTCTGGGACATTCTGTGTAGAACGTTCGGCGCGTAGAACATTCGTAACTCGATCAGGCGACAAGGTTCTCGAACTTACGAGAACGCTAAATTGAAAAAAATAAATAAAAGAGGAGTACGCTTCCTGGTATCAAACCCGGAGCCTTCGTGCGAGAGTCAAGCGCGGCAACCATTCGGCCACGCTCTCGCTCGGCAACGCGCGTGGCAACATCACTGATACATGTCACAAAACATTTCTGGGACAACAAGAAAGAGGTCGTTTTAGCTATGGGGAGGAGATCAGACTGTGGCGCCCCAAGCGGTTAACTTTAGAACGAGATGGATGGGGAGAACAAATACAATGGCTCAGCGCTCGGGTGACTTAACCGAACGCCGCATCAGCGTTCGGCTGCAGTTCCTGTTCTCCGGTGATTGGGCTCTTTTGTGCAGCATGCACGGTGCCCAGCTCAGCACAGAAACCCAAGTGGGTCAAGCTCAAAGCCTCTGACGACTGCTCTCGGGAGAGATCCGGCAGTTAACATCACTTCGCTAATTGTTAGTATTTTTAAATTACACTGTGCCCCGCGCTCCATTAAAAAAAAAAGATAACATGAACATGCCCACAAGGCCTGTGGGCATGTGCACAGGCCTTGTGTTGAGTAAACACCGAGGTGTGGGAGCAACAAACGAGTCAGAGCACCTCACCACATCGCTGAATATTGCGTCCTGTAGCGCAGCTTAGACGCATTTAACTACAATCCATTATCCCTATGGGGAAGTTCACTATAAACAAACTTGCGGTACGGCTCTGAATGACTGGATAACAAAGAGAGCCCACATAAAAGCCACGGTAGTGGTCGCACCTTCTTCAAGCAGGTTGCTTTCAGAAAGGCACTCAACATTGGCGGACACTTTCTTGGCATTTTGAGAGGTCATCCAGCTCGTAGTTCGTTTCCTGTACTGTTCTCTGTTTATCAGTGTTCGTTTACAGACAGTGTTCGCGAGAGCAATGTGTGACAGACTGAAGAGAAAAAGAGTAACAAAAGAGAACCTCGACGTTTTGCCGTAACGGGGTCAAATATACAAAAAGCAAAACAAAATGTCTTCTTTTTTTTTTGTGTGTCCTCTTCTCATTGTCTTCTCTTTGTTATTTTCTTGACACTCAAGTCTGCATTAATCGTAGGTCGTTTCCCGGTCTGCGTTGCGCCTCAGGGTGGCAATCTTTACTTCCGTAAAACCACCCCTTTTGTTTGAGGATTTATGGGGGAAACTCCAGGAAACGAAAGGCGCCCTTAGAAAGCAAGGAAAAAACCTTCATTGTACGAACTTTAGGCTGCAATATGAGTCACAATCGGCAAAAAAGCGATGTTTTCACGGGCTCAGTCAAAGTCACCGCAGTTAATCGGAGCTAGCAGCAGGATTTAGTTGCTCGAACGAATGTTCACGCTTGCTCGTGCCACGCCCACGCCACTTCATACCGAGAAACTCGGAAAATGGCGGAATGTCAAACATGAATTTGAGATAGTGAGTACAAGATACCCAGAAATGTAATTAAAATAGAGTATCAAATACTCCGGATCAAAAGTATTTGCAAGATACCAAGATACTTCAAAAAGTACAGGGTGTCACAAAAGAAAATTTACACGTTATTTTTAAGCGGAAAAATACACTAGGCATCGCCGAACGCTAATTTTCCGCCCAAAGGTAGAGCTAGAGGTCACAACCAAATGCCAAAGTTTCAGCCCGATCCGATAACTTAATCAAAAGTTATAAGTGATTTTCTGAAAATTTCAATGAGAAAATGGCGGCCGACGGACTTTTCAAACACACGGGGCTCTATGGCACCAGAAACCAAAAACGGGCGAAAATGGTCTCCATTTTCCCAATGAAATTTTCAGAAAATCACTTATAACTTTTGATTAAGTTATCGGATCGGGCTGAAACTTTGGCATCTGGTTGTGACCTCTAGCTCTACCTTTGGGCGGAGAATGAGCGTTCGGCGATGCCTAGTTTATTTTTGCGGTAAAAAAGACAGTGTAAATTTTCTTTTGTGACACCCTGTACTTGAAATACAGTATCTTGAGCAGAGCATTTGAGATAGGCACAAGTCTGGCTGCAAGTTTACGATGACTTTCCACGACGCTCGTGCAACGTGCATCCCCACCACCATAATTGCAATGCTTAGAAGATAATTGGTGAATAGTTCTAAGCTCGCGCTGGGAATGCTGCGCTAAAATATGGAGTCCAGTGAATATAAAACCTATTGGCGAAGAGACATTTCAATGATTCCCTCTTAGGGTTTCTATCTGTGACGCACGGCCAGGATTATCACTGCAAGCAACAATTTTGATGATATGGGTGAAAAGCATGGTAGAAGCTTGTCATCGCGTCCTGAAAGCAACGCCGTCAAAATTGGGAAGCCTACATTCATCTTATTTCAATTTAATGGAAGTAGATTCATAGCGAGCGTTTGAACAATTATGGAAGGCCGACCATAAGCGATGCTTTTGATCGCGCTCGCCGCCAATAGAAAACTGAAAGATTGGTCATCATGAACAACTATCGTATGTACAGTCTGTCTAATCAAATCGACTCGTATTTATATACTGTTTTTTTAATGTATCTAGAAAACAACCTATAGCGCAGAAGCATTATATGGTAGGTACAGCCTAGTATAATTAACAAACAAAAAAGCTTCGTTATGAAACATGAACATCTAGGAAATCAGTAAAGGCTGATAATTAAACACAAAATCAAGTTAAAAAATGCAGGAGTCGTAATGTGCGAATGTATAAGGATAATCTGTTTCACATTAAAAGGATACTCCAACAAAATTCTAGCGCCTAGTTTACTGTCCAACTGTCAACCTCGTTCCAGCCACACTACGGAAGCACGAATTTTTAGCTCGAAAAGACACCAAAACATTATTTAAAAATAACAAAGCTTATGCCTTTACGTCGCTCCGAACTTAAAGGGACACTGACAATCACCAATATTTATTATTTATTTTCTGACAGGCGATTCATTATGGTATCAGAAGACTACCCAATCAATATTTTTCTACTGCGTCACGTATATTTTTAATAAAGAAAAAAAAAAAAAAAAACGCAACTGCCCGAAACCGAAACCAAAACTGGACTGGGGAAGAAAACGAAATATAGTAGAGGAGGAGAGAGATGGCAGAAGTCAAGTCAAACAACGCATTTGCAGCTTTTTAGAAGCCCCCAAAAATGAGTATCATATTTCTTTTCTATTTTAACATTGTATGCGTGCCTTCGATGACCTACGACTTTGATTATATTTGGTGGTTGTGTCTAAACCTTAGAAAACGGCCCGTGACCACAAAGAAGAGAGTGAGCGCGACTCAAAACGGCCAGTTCTCGATCGGCGGTTTTCAGGCGGAAAGAAACCGAATTTCGCGCCGCAAATTCTGTTCTGGGTAGTTGGGCTCTCATATGTCACGTACAACTAAAAACCTCGGCGAGCACAACCTCCGCTCAAGTGCGGCGTCGACAAGACGCGTGCGCGCGAGCCCCGTCGAACCGGATTTCCCTTGCTTCCCGGCCTATTCAACTACACTAGGGGATTGTAGAGGGACAACAGAAACAGCTAGGTTGTAACCCGTTGACGCCACCAAGGAGCTCATAACCGCGCCAGCCAAGCAGCTTTGCCCGTGCTGGGCCAGTTGACGTCACGGCTCCCGTGATACATCGCGCGCGCTCTCTGATGGCTGATTTTCGAGCGCTCGCTGGAATAGGACCTTTGGAACGGAAACTACAGCCATCCGTTCAAAATACAAGCGTGTAATTATCATTAAGACGCAGAGTTGATCATGTTTAACTAATTTCTGAACGTGAAAAATATGTTTTAAGCTTCGATTCAGTATCCCTTTATGTCGACCGCAGCCAACGCTACGGTCCGAGGGAGCCAATCAAGCACCACCAAAAGTGCTTCGTCACGGCGTTCGTCGTTTTTGTGGGCTTGTTATCACCGGGTAAATCAATCACACGCAGCAAATTCGACACGATCCGGCGTTTTTTTTTTTTTTTTTTTCGTCTAAAACGTAAATGAAAAGGAAACTGTGACGGTACTTGGAAGGAAGATCCGAGCGGACGTGTGAATTACTTAAATTAAGTAACAAAATAATCTTGCTTCGCCAATATGGCAACCAGCTAAGATACTCGTCCGTGTATCTCAGAAAGAAGTTACTTTTTTTAGGAAGTAAGTTAATCCCCACACATCTATTTTTTCTTTTGTACAACGGCATATGTGGGCGGAAGGTTGGCTGCACAAGTTCCCACAATAACTAGCGAGAATTTACACGCCTTATTGCTTTTCCTTTGAATGTGAATTGCAGACACAAGCAAAATGGAGCCTAAAACGGCCGAGTGATCGTATGCACTTCCTTATCAGTGACACCGCGAGCGTACTGACTATAGTGAACAACACTTGACATGGCGAAGATCAAGATAAGAAATTTTCCACCCGACAGGGGGCGCTTGTCTAGCTATCATCATCATCTTTTGTGACGTCGAAGGTAGAACAGGCCGCGGATCCCTTGGCTTGTCAGCTGGCGGCATGCGTTGTTTGGGTAACGCGCGGCAAAGCCTGTTTCACGCGTTGGGTTGATTTGGTCAAGCGATATTCGTAGTAGGACATTTTACCGAAGATTGAAAACGTGGCACGCGTAGTCGTGCTAACAGACACTTTTGACGCTGATGTGTCGAAGCGCTGGGATGGTGTCGTGCTCTTCTTTACCCCAGTACAAAAGGATGGATTATAAAAATAGAATATTCAACGCTTTACCCCACTACAACATCTACCACGGCGAGTAGGGTGCGTTTTTCTATTATGATTCGGACAAAATAAAGCTGAGAAAGGAATGTCTCATTAAATTGAAAATAGCAAAGCGAAATTTGAGAAGCTCTCGCGTGTGCAGTAAAATCTTCAGTGAATGCGACTCTGTATATCCTGTTGGGCCCGATGTTTTTTGTGAGAGCTGGTCACAAATTAGTTCCAAATTGATTCCTTTTTGAATTTTGTAAAACAGTAAAAAAACATTTCCTCGAAATAACTGGCAGGAAGAAGCGGTGGCTGGCTTCCGGAGTCGTTTCAACGCGAAACGTGAAAGCCCCCCCCCCCCCCCCCCCGCGCAATCCAGGACTGTTTAAATCTAGCAAGTCGGTAACACTTCACCGCCCCCCCCCCCTCTAAAAAAAAAAAAAAAGGAACGATGTATATACTTGCATTGAATTACTACCGCTTGTATGTTTACTTTTGCTGACCAAGATAATAACCAACTCATGAGTGTTTGTTTTTTTTGTTTTGTTTTTTGCGTCTAAGTAAATTTTTAGCTTTTTCGTTTGCCGGACTCCCTTCGTAGATTGCAGCCGTCACGGCACTGCGGTGGCGATAAATGATGTCGTACGAAGCGTCTTTGTTGCCGCAGGATCAAGACGAAAGATGCTCAAGGTCCTGGTGCTCGCTGCCCTTTTGGTGTCAACCTTAGCTCTGGACGCATGGGTCGAGTTGAAAGTGGTCCCCGCTAGCTTCGAGATCAAAAGGGGGAAACCGGGCGACACTGCCGTGGCATGGGGATCCTTCGACAACAAGATCAACGAAACAGGGTAAGTATCTATATAGAGGGTGTCTACAATTGACCTAAGCGCTATAAAACGAGCCGGAAACAATCGACGCCAGACATCGAAATCTTGAACTTTCACCGAATGTGAATTTAGGTTGCGCATTCCTGGTGAAAAAATTCCAAGGCGTAGATCTTCTCTCGTGAAAAAAGTTACGCTTATAAACTTGCTAGGGCCAACGGTGGTCGCAGACGACCGAGCCAGCGATAGTTGTAACTTGTGGCGCCATCTCCCGGTAGGCGCAGCGAGCAGACGACAGAGAGCGCGTCGTCTGCCCGCTGTGACTAACGGGTAAGGACGCCACAGTGAGCATGTCCGCCGTTGATTCCAGCACCTTTACTGGTCTCATCTTTTCGCGGGAGAGACGCTATGCCTCGAATTTCCACCAGTTAAGATGCACCACCAAAATGCACATTCGCTAAAAGTTTTTTTTTTTTTTTTGTGCCGGAACAAATTTTTCCAGCTCGTTTTACAGCGCTAAGATCCATTGTGGATTCCGTATAACTTCCACAACCTTTTGAGTCGTCTAAGTTATTGTCGTCTTTCCCTGTGCAATTTTTTGTTATGCGCCATCGTGTTCCAGGACAAGACTATCGCGGACTGAGCGCACACGGAGGGACACGTGGTTCTCGGGGTTGTGCACGCCAAAGAATTGTAGCATTACTAAATTAACCTGGAGCTTTACAAACAGTTTTCATGCGAACATCTGCCGAATGTTATTTACACTGTCACTGTGGGTAATCGCTATTGCATGCTGGTAAAAAAAAGAAAACATTTGGGCCGCATATATACGGACAGTTATATGGAATACGTACGCAAAAAGAGAAAAAAGAAAACGCTTAAGATTTAAAGTTTTAACATGCGATCAAAACCAATTTCCGCTGCGATTTACTGATGTCCTAAAGGGTAACTGCAAAGAAACAAGCATGTCGCAAAACAATTCTTCCGCCCAAAACAAAATTTTTTTACAGCAATATTTATTGCGCGAGACTGATTTTAGTTAGCGGCTATTTCGTCTGTTTTAAACCGCGCGCCACGAAGTTGGTATTATACGTCACGGAGTGGCTGCTACACGTCACGGAGTGACGTAAAAGCAGCCACTCCGCGCGCGTTGAAAGAGCGGGAGTTTCAAATACGGAGAAATTGTAACTCCGACTAAATTACGTCCTGTGGCGTAAATATTGCTAGAAAAAGTTTTTTTTTCGCGGAATATTTGTTTTGTGATATGCTTGTCCCAATTAGGCTGTTCAAAAAAAAACTTTTTTTTTCTTTACAGTTACCCTTTAAAAGGCCCAGAAGAGCCGCGGCAGCACAGAAAGGCAACATACAGTGAAATGGAAGACCGCGCAGCGCTTTGTGCTTAATGCATAGGGTTTATACGTTAAAAATATATACAAGATTATTATCCAAAGCAATAAAACCAGAGACACGGAAACAAAAAGGACGTACACAACACCGTCTTGGCATTGTGTGCGTCCTTTTTGTGTCCGTGTCTCGGGTTTCATTGTGTTGCTTGGCCTTCACCAGCTTCCCTGCGCCCTCAATCTTCTTTCAGTCAAGATGATTAGTAGAATCTTGTGTACGTTCTGAATGTTCATCTCACCACAAACAGAGCTTCTCTGAAAGAGCCTACTTCTTCGTAAATCGGGATTCGCACATCTCACTAGATATGCGAAACCCGAAGAAACAAGCTCTTTCACCGTAGCTCATTTTGTGACAGTTTGTATCCTTATGTATCTTTAATGAATATCAAGATCACACTATAAAACGATCTCCAAATTGGATGGTGGGTCGAGGACTTGTCAAGCTGCGTCGCAGTTTTTTTCATCGGTCTCATTTTGTCATGCACTTGGAGAAAAAAAAACATTAATTATTTTGTTCTGATAATTTCTCCGAACATCTAAGGTTTGGTTTCCTCGAGATCTACACCAACGAGGTCTTCCCCGATGAGTACCAGGCGTACGCCGCCGGTTTCTTGGAAGCCTACTTCACCAAAGACCTGGTCGCCAAGCACTTCAGCAACCAGTGGAGCGACTACTGCGACAAGGAAGCCGAGTACTGCGAGCGACTGTACGACTTTCTCAGCGCCAACCTTGACTTTATGAACGAGCAGGCGGCAAAGTACCGCAAAACGGACCCCTACTGGCACCAGGTAAGCGAAACGTTATAGAAGAAAAATTGACAGCGTACTTACTCCCCAAAGTCCTAAAGTGCATAAAATACAGTATTTTAGGGAGCTGTTGTTTAATTTAGTTTAAAAGGCATTAGAGTCGTTTCGGGGAGTGAAGAAGAATAACTATATTTTCATTAATTTTCCCCCTAAATTTATCAGTATGACTGACCTGAAATTTAGGGGCGCTTAAGCTTCGCCTTTAAGGGTGGATTCCCATATTAACCATATTAACCCGTGAACGTTCCCCATGCTGTGCAAGCGTGTGTGCATGATCTAGCCGGTAGCGTCACGTGACGCGTTACGTCACACGTGCGTGTGACGTCATGACCCTATTGACGCGCTAAATATAGACCGTTCCATTAGGGTCATAGCAGAGAGGGTAAAAGAGAAAAAAATGCACTCCCCCTCTCACCCCGCATCTCGTCCGCTCTGCCGAGTGGGCTGTAGCTAGCGTCCGGCTGGCGTGCAAACTCTGTTTAAAATCGCGTCATTTTGGAACTTTCAAGCGCAGATGCGCAGATTTTGGTATGCCAGTTATCGTATAATACTATGCTAGATAAAAAGACTCACAGGGTCCAATTGCACTGTTACCTGCGTGCAAATAAAAAACAAAAATAGGGAAAACTGTGTCAGATTGACCGGTCTCTTTGGCGAAAAGAAAATCCGGTTGCTGTACCTTTTTTACTATGCAAAAGTTCGTACTGGTTTAGGCCTTTAGCGACCATGAGTGCAAGTCTGAAATAATAAATAAAAACGTGCTCTCCTGCCGCAATACAAGCAGTAGTTGAGGGTAGTACTGCCGGCTGACTCGACTGCTATTTAAGTAACGAAAAAAAGATATGCTGGTTCATCATTTAGCAAAATAGAACAACAGAGAGCTATAGGCTGATTTTGGAGTAGCCACAACTATTCTCAGAACGCGAACCACTTCACAACGGCAGCCACGAGCGAGAGTTCGGTGTTCGGTAGAGCCCGCCGATACAGCCCAAAGATGGAGAACGGCAACCTCCCGGTTTGTCGTCTGCTAGCGGAGGCGGCGGCGTGCCCTCTCTCTCGTTTTACCCCGCCGAACCCGCTGAACTTCCCGGATGTGTGGAGAGGGCGCTGTGGTCGAACAAAATGGTGCCGCCCAGAGAGCGCTAAATGGAATGGTCTATAGCGGAAAGTATTCCCGCCAAATTTAGCGGGTCGATAGGGTCATGACGTCACACTCACGTGTGACGTCACACGTGGCTGCGGTCGTTGCATTATGGGATTTTTCGGTCTCACCGATGTTGACGCCGGATTTTCAGCGACATGAGCTCCTAAACGCTATCGCGTTAATACAGGTCGCGCGACGTCAATTATCCGCTGGACATCGATTTCCCCGCCAAATTTAGCGGTGAAATTGAATATGTGAATACGTCATATGACGTCGATTTGCGCGCTGCGTGTAGGTTACGTGATGTCAATTTCTCCGCTACATTTAACGGGAGAAGCATTGCATGCATTAAAAAAAAAAAAAAAAAAACTTGTCCTGATCATTTTGATAAATCGCAAGCGTTCCGATTTGTTTTGCTTGGTTACGGAAAACTTTTCCGTGGTTTCGGATCCGTCGCAAGCACGGCACACTTATGTGCTTCCCGGGATTTTACACAATGTTCGCCTCCTTCTCATGACAGAGAAAAAAGACGACGGGCTGCGGATAGCGCAGTGCCATACCCGCCACCCCCTTGGTAAACCTCGCTAATTACTTAGGCTTAACTATGATTAGGGCGATCACCGTTAATTAGCCTCGCTAATTAACGCTAAAGCCTAAGTAATTAGCCTCGATAATTACTTAGGCTTAACTATGATTAGGTCGAGCATCGTGTTCAGAACATGCCTGCTTCGGGTGCGTGCCCCGCACCCCACTGTGGCGAACGCGGATACTTTATAGGCTGCGTTTACTAGACGGCGCCCGCTTTTGATTAGGGTTTAGTAAACGCTTTTAAGCGCAACCAAAATCTCAGACACGATCGTTTAATCACTGAAGGAATGCTTTCTGAGGGTGACCGTCCGGTCAAACAGGCTCAAGCAACGAGGGAAGATCATTAAGAATATTGCACATTTCCCACTGCCATTAGGATTTGCCTGTTTATAAAAGATTTTGAACAGACAACGCGTCTTTATTTGTTTTAGAAGAAAAAGAAAACGAATAAAGGCCATAATTTTTAGTGAGAGAATGCTGATTTCATACGGCCGATGTTTTCAATGTATAAATTGTATGTAACTAAAAAAAAGAAAACTTGCTGAGTTCGAAGAAGTTATGTGTCTGTCTGTATTTGTCTGTGTTTTTAGAATGATGCGTGCTTTGTTTCAAGACTGCACATGCCCGGTCAATCGAAACCTTCTTGGAAGAGGATATATAATGATCGCATAACATCTTCTGCGCAGGTTGACTTGATCTTGAATCAGCTGGCTGGGCTGAACGACGGTCTGAATCACACCAAGTTCTTCCCAAACTACTCCTACGTTAACGTCACAAACCTCCTGTAAGTGGACATACAAAATAATCAGCCCTAATCCGTTTACAGATTTTTGCTAGTCCTGCAGACCCGCGATGCAGCAAGCAATGACCGGATTTCTAAAGGTAACATTAAAATGAAAGCTACCCCTGATCAATGAAATTATTCTGTCCATCAAGTAATTAAGCGCGTGCTGCCTAAGTCTAGAAAAAGCCCCCATGTGTCCAGCTCAGCCACGTAGCCAAGATTTTGATTCGGAGGCGGGGGGGAAGGGGGGGGGGGGGGGGCACGCTTATGACAAAATGCAGTATGAGGGGGAGGGGTGGGAGGAGGTCCCAGCAAAATGGCAGATTTCGGAGGAGGGGGGGGGGGGGGGGGGGCTGGATACCTGCCTGGTCCAGCTAGCGTCCAGTTTCACCTGGAAAGGAAGAACTGAACACAAGCTGGACGTACAGGATGCTTTCTGGGCTTCACAAAGTCGTTTGAAAAGAGCAGTGGAATCCATTAATGCGGTCTTTTCAGGTAAGTTATTCGGCCAGGCGGACATAATATAGCGGCCTAATCGTCACAATAAGTCGATTAATGAACTTAGATTTGTTCCTTAAATTTTTTTTTTAATTGGAAACGTTCTAAGCCTCTTCGAAAAACAATAAATTAGTTAAGTTTAAAAAGACTTAGTACGGCGTTACAACACTCTGTAACGCCGAATTAGAGCGCAGCTCTTGAGGAGGAGGAAGGAAGGGTCCTGAGGGGAGGGTATACCCCTCCTCCCTCCTCCTCATCCTCCCTGATACTGCTGCTCCCCTCCTCCCTCCTCTTCTTTCTTCTCCCCACCTCCTCCTCCCCTCATCCCTCAAGCTGCTCCCCTCCTCTCCTCCCCTCCCTTCTCCCCACTTCCCCCTCCTCCTCGCCTCTCCCCTCCTCCTCGCCTCCCCTCCACCTCGTCCTCCCCCCCTCCCCTCCTCCTACTCCCGCTCCTCCTCCCCTTCCCCTCGTCCTCCCCCCGTGTTGCATCATAGAAAATGTCCCATAATGCACCGCGTGGGACCCTCGTGACGTCACGAGTGACCGCGCGGGACCCTCGTGACGTCACGAGTGACGTCACGAGGGTCCTGCGCGGTGCATTATGGGACATTTTTCATAATGCACGCGCAATTAGACCGGCGCCGACGGTGACGGCGACGCCGCTCAAGCCGGAAACGGGCGCCTAAAGGTACGTTTATACTCCAACGTGACATCGACGGGCGCGGCGTAGCGCAGCGCGCACAGATACTGATTGGTCGCAGATATCGAGTTCCTGGCCACTGAAAGGCGCACGTTCTGCGCTACGCTGTGTTCACTGCGCTCAACGTCGGAGTATAAACAGCCCTTAAGAGCTGCGCTCTAAAGAGTCTTGGAGCTCGTGTGAAGCACGGTAGTGCGCTATAGTTACCGCTCGTGCAATAGGCGCAAAGCTGGCCTTGCGAAAACGCGGATGATAAAGAGACGGAAAAGCACGCGTAGGCGCGTTTTTGTACCCGCAGCCTTGCGTCTGTTTCACGACTGGTAACTTTAACGCAGTGCCGTGCTTCTCACGCGCTCCAAATCCTCTTTTTTTAACTGAGAGATTTAGCAGTTTTCGATCACGCTCAGCAAGCTTGAAATTGCAACCCTACACGTGTATCTTCACATATTAGAAATTTAAGAAACAAAATTTTGTTTATTTATTCATTATTTATTTCAATATACTTGTAACCCGTCTCTTGGGGTCATTACAGGAGAGCAGAAAGATACACATTAATAAAACAGCTACAGGAAACGAGAAACCACCGTATGCATATCGTAATTTTCATTCGCCAAAACACGAGCCAACACATGAACGAAGCAAAAACACATCGTCATAATATTACGATGACCGCACACAACATTATTAGAAAACGCACGTGCACCGCTCAATGGAACAAGAAGAAACTAGCTTCGCAAGCGCTTCATGTTATGTGAAAACTCTGTGGGGGAACATGGGTTCAAAATTTCCTGCCGAAGAAGGTTCTATTCCTCTATTATTTTAGGAAAGAGAGAATAGTGAAATACATTGATTCTACTTTGAAATGGCTGCATCTTTTTAAAATGGCTGTCTTAAAATGCGAGTAATAAGGGGATGATCTCAAATTTTCACTGTAAAGTCAAAGTTAATGAGTCTATGATGCATCACGAAAACGTAGTCCTTGAGTCTATCATTCCTGCGCCAGTCGGACAAGGTTAAATGTCTAGTTGTTCTAACAGTAACAGAGTGTGTTCTTTTGTAATTGAAGAGCGTATACCGGGCAGCAAGCTTTTGTACATTCTCTAATTTCTGAATTTAATTTTCTGATGGGGGTTCCATATTACATTTGCGTACTGTAATTTGGTCGTATGACTGTTTTGTAGACCATCAGCTGAGCACTTTTGCATCCCTAAACTTTGTTTTCAAATATCCTAATGTATACTTAGGAAAACAGTTGATGTTGTCGACATAAGCCCCCCCTCCATTTGAAATCATTTGAAACTGTTACAAACATATGTTTGTAGCTATTTACTTATCTTAAAGACGACCCGTTAATTGTGTATGCATAGGGTAGAATATTTTTCTTATTTGTTGCCATCCCCCATTCTCGGCACCAAGACCCAATTTTCAGTAGAGCACCGACCAGCTTAGCTTGATCCTCCTTAGTTTTGACATTTGCGCGAATGAGGCAGTTCCCTGCAAATAATCGCATCATGACAGAATCATCAATGGCTTGTGCTATGTCATTTATATATATAAAAAATAAAACCGGACCCAAAACGTAGCCCTTTGGACCCCCGATGATACTGGTACAACGCCAGATATTGTGCTATTTATTTTAACGAATTGTCTCCTTTTATGTAGGTATGCACTTATACATTGAACCAATTTAGAGCTGACTCCAATTCATTTAAGTTCATTTATTAGGTATCTACGCGATACATGATCAAAAGCTTTTGACACACCTGACAATATTGCGTCCGTTCGTCCCCCGGCATCAATTAGACGTTGAAAAGTTATGAAAGCATTCACTTAACTGAGTAACTGTTGAAAGTTTCCGTTTAAAGCCATGCTGGTTCGTGTACAGAAGGTTATTATTTTTTAAACAGTCGTATAGCAATTTTGACACCACGTGTTACAGCTGGTGCTCGTCAGTGGTATTGGCGTATAATTGACCGGGAAAAGTCAATTATTAACCCTATCTATTATTTTCCCCTGATCGCATGGACGTACCAACCGGGGGGGGGGGGGTGGGGGGGGGCAAGAGGGGCGAGTTCTCAGAGTGGGGGGGGGGGGGGGCAGGGCATGTGTTTTGCCCCCCCCCCCCCCCCGCCCCCCTGAAACAGCTGCCACTGGGCAGCGCAAACACTGGCCGGCGGCACACAAGGGATACCAAGGGCACCGTCCCCCGGCCCTGGGTGGGGGGGGGGTCTGGTTTGCCCCCCCCCCCCCCCCTCATTTAAAAACAAGTTGGTACGCAACTGGAAGACCGCATAACTTACCTGCCCAGCCTACATTTGTGTACACTGACAGTTAAAAAAAATCTGTACATTCCTGCCCCCCCCCCCCCCAAAAAAAAAAAAAAAAAAAGCTTTGTAAATTGGATTGCATGATCAAACTACCTGCGCACGCTCATGCACGCAAATAGCGGGGTCAGGCACCAAAAGACAGACAATTCATTAGTCCGGTCAGCCCACAGTTTCCACTGCAAGCATGGCGCCAACAAATGGTCGGCCGGGTTTCCCGTTTGTCTCATAACTCAGGGGCCACCATCGAAAAGACGAATATCGTGATCGCCAATTTATGTCCGTTAATACCCGGCCCTCAGAGTAAAAGGCGAGAGAGGGAATGTGCTGGATTAGGTGCCGGAAATAGGGATAAATAAAACAGCCAATGCCGTGTTCGTGCCACCATTGTCGCGCAGTTTACGCGAGAACCAAACATGGTGTTCTGATGAAGGGTTCAAGCGAATAGTGAATGATACATACCTTTTTTTTGGGAATCTTCTTGCACGTGATTGGTTCAACCACAACGTCTTGGGCGTCACGACTGAGTGTATGCAGTTTTGAAATAGAATTGGCCATCCTTGAGTAAAACCCGTCATCAAACCCCGATTAAAAAAAAAAAAAAAAAAAAAAAAAAAAAAAAAAAAAAAACCCGGTTAATTTGTTAAAGTGTTCTGCATTTCCGATTGCACTCTAAAAAAAGTCTGTGCGTCTACTTTCACGCACACCACGCGGAGTGCCAATCAGCGCAACTTACGGAGGCAGCTCAGCGAACGACGATGCGGAAACATCTGTTTAGACCAAAAAACGCAGTCTGAGTTGTGACATTAAGCAATGCAAGCGTGATGTTTTTGCATTGCTTAATGTAACAACTCAGACTGCGTTTTTTGGTCTAAACATATGATTCCGCACCGTCATTCGCTGAGCTACCTCTGTAAGTTGCGGTGATTGGCTCTCCGAGTGTTGTGCGTGAAAGTAGACTTACAGACATTTTTTAGAGTGTGTGTTTGTTAGTCAGAACCTTGGTTCCAGAACCGTCGCTCGCCAGCTTATCAGCTCCATCCGTGTCGACTGCTGTGATTGGCTGTATACGTATTATTATTACCACCAACCATTTCGACAAGCATATTTTTTTTTTCTTGCAGAACGGGTACACAGGATACTCACGTATTATGCAGAAAGGCGATGAATCTATGAACCACGTATGGTGGACGGGTGGGGTGGAAGAAATGGGGGGGGGGGGGGGGGGGTTGGAAAGGGGTGTCAACGGCATTTACGGTTTTGCGTTACAGGTTCTAACGTGGCAGGCGAGACGAAGATCGCCTGTGTCGATGAAGCAAATTGGCGGATGGGTATTTCCGTGGCCTTCGCTGCTTTCTCGAGCCGCTGCATACGTGATTCGGTGTTCGGCGCTAGAGCACTGCACGGGCTCGGGCCGGCCCGAAAGCCCGAAAGCCCGGCCGGGTAGCACGTATTTTTTAGGGCCCGGGCCGGGCTCGGGCTTGAAAAAAAAACATTTCCGGGCCGCGTCGGCCCGGACCGGCCCGGTCCGTGCCTGGTCAGTCGTGTGCCGTAAATTTTAAATCGCGTCGGCCCGGGTCATGTGCCGTAAGTTTAAATTCAAAGGTATCCATGGCTAAAGTCCGTCTGCTCTCCGTTCGAGGAGATAGAAGCTCTACTGGAGTCAAGGAACAATCTATTGATGGAAAGCGTGAACAAGACAACACTCAACGAGTTAATCGTGTTCCTGCAACCCTTCAAAGATGCTACCGACGCGCTCGAAGAGGAAAGACGTCCAACACTACCTCTGGTTGTCCTTTACGCTTCTGCGTTGAAGAAACATCTTAAACCTGGTGCGGCAGTGTCTGCTGTAGAGGCAGTGGAAATCGAGAAGATCAAGTCCCGTGCTCGTCATTTCCTGGACACGAAGCTGAAAATTTCCCTCCTCCACAACACTGCCACATTTCTCTGGCCTCAGTTCCGCCAACTCCGCAGGTTGCCCGAGGACGAGCGCCTTGAAGTTTACGCGCACGTCAGAAAGCTACTTGCCCGTGTCACCGAAGCAATGACCCAAGATGAAGATGAGACAAACGATGACGTTCGAGATTCCGCATCAAAAAGAAGGTGCCAGGGTTTGTTTGAAGACTGGTGTGACGCGCAGGAGGACAAGGTAGCCTCCGACGAATTGGAGGAGTATCTGCATGGCAAGAAAGACTATACTCGTGCTCAGGAGTGGCTGATCTTTGTGACTTCTGGAGAGCGCACAATAAAGAATTCCCGAAACTGTCCATTCTATCGAAACGCATCCTGTGCATCCCTGCTACAAGTGCTAGCAGCGAACGGAACTTTAGCGCGGTGGGCTACATTATGCAAGCAAGACGGACCTGCCTGAAGAGAGAGCCCATGGACAAGTTATTGTTTCTCCACAAAAATATGTAGGAAGAAAATTTCTCTTAAACAAATTGAATAGAACAACGAAAAGTGCAATATCTTTTTAATAAAATCATAAATAAAAAATTCCCAACTTTTGTCTCAAGGATTGTCGGTGTGCGATGAGTTCAAAGACTGTCGCAAATGATGCGCATATTTCACCCATTCTCTCGACAATACATATTCTAAGTCGACATATTTATGATATAAAAAACTCGGTCCCAGTTTTCCGGCTCGGGTTGGGCTCGGGCTCATATTTGAAAATGTTATCGGGCTCGGGCCGGGCCCGGGCCGTGTCTCTACCGGGCCGGGTCGGGCCGGACCTAGAAATGAAATATTCTGTCGGGCTCGGGCCGGGCCCGGGCCGTGTCTCTACCGGGCCGGGTCGGGCCGGGCCTAGAAATTCCGGCCCGTGCAGTGCTCTATTCGGCGCTCCTACCGGATAATGCTGCAGTCTCATTGGCTGCGCAGAAGTAATTATAGATGCGCGGATCTAGCCACGCCCCCCGTTTCTTAAGCTGCCAGTCACATATATATGCTGTTGAGATCTTCAAAAGGTAGCTAATCTCTTGCACGGTTGCGAGCAAAAAGCTATGAGTGAGCATCGGCTGCAAGGAATGCGCAAACCGATGGGCGCTGTCATTTCCGCAGACTTCTGAACGTGGACGGCGACCTGGAGGATCTCGAGGTCGCCCTGAAGAGGGCCGTGCGGCAGGAGGTGACGGGCAGCGATTCCTGCTCGGCGCTGGTCAAAGTGCTCCCCGGTGGCGAAGACCTGTACTTCTCCCAGGTCTTCTGGGGGCCGTACGCTGGCATGCTGCACATCCTCAAGAAGTACTCCTTCAAGTTCCACTCTACCTTCGGTTCCAGTAAGGAACTCCCTTTGTTGCTTCTGAGAACGACTAAAGCCCCTATACTGTACATCAGTGGTTTCATCCATTGATGTTTTGCGGACCCCTAGTGGATGAGCGGAGATGATGGAGGACTCTGTCCGTTGTGAGGGGAGGGCGAAGGTATAGGTTAAATATAGTAATTATATAATAAATTGAGTTAACTGAGAGCTAGTGTGGAGTAGATATCTCTTACTGACATAAACAGAAGATAACTCGGCCCCCCCCCCCCCAAAAAAAAAAAAAAAAAAAAAAAAAAAAAAAACATTTGTTTGTATTTGAAAAAAAGACAACTTTTATTGCCGGGCTTGACTAATGAAGCAGTGCTTCGCCACCCCAAAGGGGCCACGGACCCCCATTTGAGAAACACTGCTGTACACAAAAGTAATGCAATTGTCTAAAATGTTCGTCCTCCACAGTGAATTCGCTCAAAAATGGAGTCGTGCAGCTAGCGGGAGAGAGGCTGGGAGAAGGTGTACCGTTCATATTTTAGAAGTGGTACTACGTAAAGTAATTAAATGGTATTTCTTGCAAGGAAGGCGGTCGAGTATAGTGACTTCTTAATAACCGGTTCAAATGTGGCCAAAGGCACCCAGGTGCCAGCTGTACGATATGTCACCTGAAAGACAGCATTTCACTTTGGAGAGATGTTCATGGAACTAGAGACTTTAATCTAGAATAAAGATCGTAAACTCACAAGTCCGAGCAGACGCCAGGACCCACACATAATGGGAGGCGAAGCCTATCTTCGGAAAAGCCAGCTTGAATTACGCAACGTCGACGTAACAGACGTAATAGTTTTTTTAATATTTTTTTCTGGGTAGTTTTTTGAGAGGCAGCATATACAAGAGGAATTAAGGCGTAGGTTAGGAAGTGCAAGTCGTATAATAATTTTGAAATTGTTATAATGATCTTTGAGACAAGTTTGTGTGATTAAAGTATAAGGCAAATGATACAGACCAATCAAGACTATAAAACAAACTGATGATAACGGGATTTGGAATGTACCACAATGGCAACTATCACGGACTTCAAAGAAAGATAAATAGTGATTTCAAATAATTTTGCAATGCCTGCAACGTACAACCGTGTCTTCTTTTGCAGGCGAACTTATCCCAGGCCATACTGTTACCTTCTCGTCCAGTCCAGGCAGAATTTGCTCTGGCGACGACTTCTACCTGATTTCTTCTGGACTCGTGAGTGACGTCCGTATGCTTCTGGGATAGACTTATCGGGTCATCGAGTAAACCTATAATGCCACTAAGCACGCGCAGCATGCATTGCTCGCCAAGAACGTAGTACTTTCCGATTGTGCAGTGCAAATTAAACCATATCTACTCATGTTTACTTTTTGAGTTGGGACTTTCATAAAAAAATTAACCAACGGGAGCTGCGAGACACAATTCGTAACACGACGTGTCTACTACAGTATTCGATTTTCTATTATACATTTAATTTCATTTAATTTAAGTTCATTAATTTTTCTCTCAGGGCCAGAAAGCAATGTAACACAATCATATAAGTAAAAACAATAAAAAGGGGAAAATACTAAATTAGTACGCGATCAGTTGCCACCAGTTAACAAAGTTGTAATTGCAGGTCTAAGCTCAGGGGTGTTAGTAATTGAGACTATGCCTGTGGAAAGGCAATTCCAATCAATGAAGGTCTGGGGTATGGAGGCATTAAAAGGTAAATTGGGGGATTTTAACTTTGAGTTGATTACTGTATGTAAGGTGGTTCTGAAAAAAGTGCTTGGCGAAGTATAAAAATAAAAGGCATTTCATGAGCTATACACACCTAAGTTGCAGCGTATACAACTTAACATACACCACAATACAAAGTGACACAGCTTCTTTTGTTCTTTCGTGTTTGCTCTTCGTACTTTTCTCTCTATTGAGCAGTCTGGAGTTTTAGCGAGGCGTTTCCACACAAACGGTTCGCCCTTGAACGCATCGGGGATGCCACTGAGCATGCGCGCGCGAATCGTTGGAGGCATCGGGAGGCTCTTCTTGTTTCCTCCCACTCCGGCCACTGGAGTCGTAACCGCAACGGAGCGAGCACCGTACACGACTCAGGTAAAAAAAAGATGGCGGTTGGTCGTGGTCCGCCGCGCCAGCCGAGCGTTAGGCTTAGGACAGCGGGAGACGATTTGGCATTCTGTTACTCTGCTTCGTTTGAGAGGTAGAACCAAAGCATTTCGAGGATGGCTCACAATGGTTAGAGATCGCAGCAAATGTTTTGCGATCTGTGGACTGACTAGCTGCCTTGGCGATCGCGAGAACACGAAATGGTTCGATTCGACGGCACACAAAGTTCAAGATGACGGAGACACACACCACCACCTATTTTTGCGGCTGTTGAGACACTTTTTACCCTATCTAGCTTAGCAGGTCTTGAAATTGCGACCAGGTAAATGTTATGTTGGAAGTCTTGTTCATATCAGACGTACGCCAGAAACACGAGCCGCCACGGTTTTGCACGCAGCAGATCATTTCACATGTTTACTAGAAGATGGCGCTGCCGGTCAAACGCAATCCTCATCATCGTTCACATGGTTGCACCAGTTCTACGATTCGCTAAAATATGCTTAACGTACGGCTTCGCGGAACGGGCACCGTTCATGATTTCGGAACCGTAAGCTCATAAACGACTCGCTAAAACTCCCTTATGATAAAACCTTCCTTAGGCTACCATGGAAACCACCAATCTGAACTTCAACTCTTCGCTGTACAGCTACGTAAAACCCACGACTAACCTCGAGTATGTGCGCAACATCGCCGCAAACCGACTGGCAACGTCGGGTGAGGAGTGGGCAGACATCTTCAGCAGATACAACAGCGGAACGTGAGTTTAGTTCGTGAGCCAATTCGCGACAACCGACATTTTAGACAGATCCGCCAATTTTGTGCACGTCGTGTGTTCTTCAGGGCGTCTGCGGACGTATCTTTTAGCGAAGTTCAAGGAACCGTAAGCTTGATGTATTCCTGTAAAATAAAACTCAGGGAATCCCCAAACAAAGCTCTTGTGACAAAAGAACAACAACAAAATATTTACAGGAACGAAGTTTGATTCTTTTTTTTCTAAGGTTTAGATTAAATTATGGCTCACCATTGCCCTAAATGTTCTCTAGCCCTTCTTAAAAAAACTTGCTATAATTTGTTGTCTAGAAGTCGAACTGTTCCCAGAGTTGCTAAAAATAAAAGATGCAGCAGTTTTTAGTGTGTGGGAGTTTGCTGTTTGTTCACAATTTGTGGTCGTTCACAACGTAGACGGTAGCTCTCCTCGTTCAGATACAACAACCAGTGGATGGTCGTTGACTACAAGAAGTTCACTCCAGGCCAGCCCTTGCAGGACAACCTTCTCTGGGTCCTGGAGCAGCTTCCGTGAGTTGGCATTGAAATGTCAAATGTTATTTTGGTCCACGTAGTCAGAGAACAATAGAAATCCGGATATGGCCTATAGAAACCCAAAAGTATGCACATCGAGTGCCCGACTTAAATATAAAATATCCAAGGTATGCACAAAAACGCGGGTCCGACGGACGCCACACCGCATAGGTGGCACTGCTGTTGGCGCCGCGTATCCATCCAGGCGCTTTCCTCATTTTTCGAGAAGCTCGTTTTTGCGCACGCGCAGCGTCCACGCATGGTGCAGGAGATCAGGCTTTGTTTCTAAACAGAGTCTTAATCTAATATCGAAAGGGTTGCGAAAGCAAACTAAACTAAAGATGGGCAGCGACCTGTAACTTCAAAGTCCTATAACGCGTGAGGTGCATTATAGGGAGTTGGTAAGGTAAACGGTGTGTCAGGTGACGTATATTTTCGAGCTAAATTTAGCGGGGCGTCACAATGGTATATAGGCCCCGTGACGGCGATCTGCTTCGCTAAATTTCGCGGAGAAACTGGATTGGTGAACGTTAGAGGACGTGCATTCTCCCGCTAAATTTAGCGGGTAACTGAATAGGTGTATAGGTCGCGTGACGTCAATTTTCCTACATATTTAGCGAGGAAACTGAATTTATGTTTTGGCCACCATACGTGAATTTTCCCGCTAAATGTAAACTAGGTAAACTGAGTTCACATATAGGTCACGTGTCGTCAATTTCCCCGGTCACGTGAAGTCAGGAGGCGTCACGTGACGTATATTTTTCCGCTAAATTTAGCGGGGAAGCGGAATTTCTCTATAACGCATGACGACAACATTTGGGGTTCGGGGGCGGCGTTAAAAAGCATTGCTTTAATAGGGAGTTTTTGGTGGATAGTTTCCACTGTCCCGCAACGTTCTCCGCAACCCGCTACGAGATCTCGGACTCTGCAGGCAAGGCTAGCGCCGCGCATGCGCAGTACTGGCGTCTTCGTTTCGGAGAGCGTAGCGGAGGTAGGAAAACGGTTTACGAAAAATTCCCCAATGATTAAAAACTACGTCATTCTAATACTTTCCCCTGCATTTTCTTGCTCACCGAGAAGCAGGGTGTCGAACCGAAATGTTTTCAGCTCCGGTTTTCGTTCCGGTTCAGTGAAAACGGTTCAGGTCCGGTTCAGCTCCGGAGTGAAGAAATATGGCCGTTCATGCCGATTCGAACCGGTTCGCTTTCGCATGTTGTTAAAGGAACAAATAGAGTGAGAAGAAAAAACTACATTTTTAATAAACTGTTTAATACTAAGAGGGAAGAGCTTGGAACTGCTCATAAATTGCGTGGAACAAAAACAGTGAGCCTGTTATGAGCTGATCTCTTAGCCGTTAAATAAAGTTTAGTTCATAAAATGCATGATCCTCAGCAGGGTCGCGGGAATTCCAGTGGCTACTTGCGCCAACGCCTGAATGTCTAAATCATGTTGTTTCCTGTCCTGTAAGCGCTAACATTGGTGAATGTTAACATTCTAGACGAAGCATCCACACCTATTCTAATAGAAGGTGGGTGCATAGATGCGTGTGACCGTACATGTACGTTACCCACCAAAAGTAACTAAATAGGTTACTCGTTACTGATTTTTAAAAGGAACGCATTACTTAATCACAAAAGTAGCGAGTTACTTTCTCCATTACTTTCACAACCAAATACACAACTGCTTTTGTTTTATGGTTTATTGTTTTCTTTTCAGTGTCGTTGCCTGTTAGCAGTAGCTGCCTCTCGAAGTTTTTATGAGTTATCTGTTTCGCCGCTTCCTTGAGAATACATACTCCGGCGACGCTGAAGAGTCGTTCTACTGACTTGCTCCAAGGAATTTCACTGTAGTGCTTCAGGAAGAGCTGGTGTATCAGGGGTTCCATTCTCTCTGTCGTTCTCTCTGATTCTAAAGCTATAAGTTGGGAATGGGTTCTGTGCCTTCCGGGGTTGGCAACCTCCGCATTTACACTTGGTCTGTACACGGTTCTAGAAGGTTAAAGCAACGAACCTTATTGTGTTCTCTGGGTGAAGGCACATTCCCAGCTGTAGAGTTTGACTGACCTGTTCGGCGATAAACGTTGCCATACTCTCATACTGCTTAGTTGTTTTTCGCATTGCCCATTTGCCTTTGTCGCAGTAGACGCATACTCAGGCTAGAATTAAAACCAGGCTGTTTAAACGGCGTTGTACACGTTACTCTTCAAAAGTAACGAAATACCTTTACACGTCACTTTGTATTAAAAGTAACTGAGCACGTTACTCGTTCCTTAAAAAAATAATAAAAAGAAACTAAATACGTTACTCAGTAGCAAAAAGGTAATTAGGTAGAAGTAACTCTTTACTATTAACACGTTACGTACGTGTCTGCTTGTGACTAACAAAGTTCTCAAAAAGATTGTTTTTTTTTTGTTTTTGTTTTTTTTTGTCATTCGGTTGAATTCTCTCAAGAACGTTACCTACCCGAAAATACAAACATCAAAATACGTTACACTACTTTTCGCGGTGGACGTTTTATATGCACAGTTTTAAACTGAAAACCGCGAAAATTATTTGTTTGCCCCGAAACACCAAAAAGAAAGAAAAGAAAAAAGTATAACGTTTCAGTTTAAATTTTCAGGAAAATAGACACTTTTTTTCTTTTCCAGTTTTCGGTTCTGATACAGTTGATACCCTGCTGACAAGCCCATATTACTTATTTCAGAGATATCGCTTTTCGCACGTCAGCCCGGTTGTTGCGAAATTCTTCAGGCTATTCCGCTATACAAATGGAACATAGCCATGTACATTACTTCGCAGCTCAGGGTGGAACGCTAACGCGAAAGTTAATAGGGAGTTTTCGTAGATGGTTCGCGCTGTCCCGCAACGTCCTCAGCAACCGGCTAGAAGATCCGGGACTCTGCAGGCAAGGCTAGCGCCGCGCATGCGCAGTAGTGGAGTCTTCGTTCCGGAGAGCGTAGCGGAGCTAGGAAAATGCTCTACGAAAACTCCCTAAAGACTCTTAAATATGGTACGATCGTGGAACTCAGTTATTTGTCCGATTGGCTTACACCTGGTTGTGCCCAGTTTAATTCTGACCATTTTATGAGACAAGGATGTTACCATGCGCAGGGGCTACATTTACAAGGAAGATCTGACAAAGGTGCTGAGGAGGCAGACCTACTGGCCAAGTTACAACGTCCCGTAAGCATATACCACCGCTGGAACTTGTCGAAGATTCAGAACACATGTCTGTTTTCTGTCATCGAGATTTAGGGAAGGGGTATATTAAGCTACGAGGATTTACGATACGGTGCGATTCATGCTTCATATCATCATATGGTGACGTCCTCTCGAAGCTGCTGGTGAATGCTCGAGTGCAGTTCCTTACACAGTACCGTACCTTTGCTGCTTGCCCAGCCAGGAATCATTTTTCGGGTGTCGGAGAGTTGGCTATGAAGCTGGGCTTGAAGATTAAGGATCCTTTCGGGGGGAAGGGGAAGGGCTCGACTTTAAAATTTTCTTTTGCCTAAGTCACTGGCTGCTTGTACTAAGAATGACATGATGGATGACCTCTTTAAAAGAAACCCCAAAGAAATTTCTGGTTGTCACATTATTTTATCAAAGGTGCACTATGAATTAATAATTTTTTTCTGAGAAAGTTTATAAAGTAAAATCGCTATTTTGTTTCAACGTTCAAACAGCGTGGCAAACATGCATTCTACTGTAGCCATAGCATCCTTCAAATTGTTTTTTCCATGTCCCTACCAAATTTCAGTCCTTATTGAACACAGGTACTCTGAGGTGGTCTTCAACATGAGCAATTGGCAGTCGAACCTGGAGAAATTCGGCGACTGGTTTACGTACGACAAGACTCCGAGGGCGCTCATCTTCAAGAGGGACAACGGCAAGGTCGTCGACATGGAGTCTATGATCAAGCTGATGAGGTACCACTGCCTAGGTCACGGCGAACCCCCAGATCAGCAAGTGGACAAGCGTAAAAACATAAGAGAACCCAATACTTAGGCAGAAAAGAGCAGAGTAGAAACACTGATCACACGTACAGATTCCGTTACCATTAACTCGCCTTGTGGGAGATTTTGCAGTTACCGTGCAAACAAAACTAAAACCCGAGACCAAGAGAGTAGAAAAACATAGAAAACAAAAATAATGTTTCCTTTGTTTTGTTTCCAAATGAGCGCAATAACGGTGATCGCCTGGTAAGTGCTGTCTCCCCATATATAATTTGAGAAACTAGCGTGCTGAGGCATTACCGAACTGTCCAGCCCACGTGGTTCTACGGACGTCCTAAGGTGGTGCACACGGCATTGATCAAGCATCCGTGCCGTGGCACATATCAGTATAATTCAAGGTGGAGAATAAAAATGAAGATGATTTAAATCGTGATTTAAACCACGGCTTAAATTATTTAAATCGCACCGGTTTTACTATGATGGCTCAATCACGCCTTTCCCCCAGGAATGATCCCAAAAATCGTTTTTTTTAATGTTTGTCTATCACTTGATGCTTTCTATGTGCACTTGTTATGTATTTAGATCAAAGAATCATCGAGCTAAAAAACAAATTGAAGCTGGTTAAGCATGAACAACTCTTTTGTGCAAATCAGAGAGCATATATGTTTTTTTACAGTTCATTTTGTTAGTTATATATGATATAGCTACTGCAATCAAATCAAAACGCGAAAGAAACCAAAACAAGAAACGTAAGTACAAAACGAGCGTGTTGGTAACAACATCCACCATAAGGAAGGTATACTGAGAGCAAATCAGGACGCAAACGATAAAGCAAGTACAAGTTTTCACAAACCAAAAAATAAGCTGCTTGCTTCTGGTATGGTGTGTCTAGATAAATGAGTTGTTAATTAAACTGCACTTAAAAAGTTTATTGCAGTAATCTTTTCTTCCGTATTATTTTTCTGTGATCAAATGAATTGATCAATGAATCAATCAATCTGTCATGTTTAAATATATAGGTGGTGATAAAGAATCACTTTGTTTCTAGCTGGTGATTGAAATCAAATAAACCTGGTTTAAATCAAATTAATACCAATAAATCAAATAAATATTATTTAAATAAAACAAATTTAATTGGAATTAAATAAATCTGATTTAAATCAAACACATCTGATTTAAATCAGACAAATCTGATTTAAATCAAATAAATCTACTTTTTCTTGCCGATATTTTCTGTTGGACCCTGGTATAATTAGAACCACTAAACAAGTGACACTTCAGAGTTGCTACGCTTCAAACAGCCAAATGCTGGCGCTTCAAAATCATGGTCGCCAGTTATCCGAGGCTTTATCTGAAATCGAAATCGCAGAAAAGGCCTTTCCGTCGGTACCAACGTTATCCGTACCCTGCATGAATGTAAAAAAAAAAAAAAAAAAAAAAAAAAAAATGGAAAGTTTTTGACAAGGCAAGACGATGATCGCCCGAGCACACAACGCCGCAGTTTAGAATCGTATAGTTATCGCATGGATGGATGGATGCGGCTGAACCCTTTGATTCGGGCAGCGACTTGCGTCACCAAACCAGTTTTTTTTTTATTTATTAACAGCGAGCGCTACCTAGTACCGGGTGCGTCAGTCACCCGGGGCCGCCACTGTTTGGGTACATATTCTCAGCATGCATTGGATACGAGGGCCACGTGAGCGTTCGGCGAGGTCTCGGATCTAATCGCATCCTTTGTGTCCAATAAATGGATGATAATGGTTATATCCTTTGTAACGGGCGGCAGCTTGCTCCACCTAGCCTAATGGCGACCGCCAGTGTTGCTGAACGGGTTTTGAAAAAGGGTTTATTGCGCCCGCTCTGCGTTATAGCATGGACCTTTCCTCGCCGTGGTAATATAAGCCAGCTTTTGGATTCGCTCACTGTTTCGGCTCCATATGGAGAGAAAGAAAATTTAGAAGCTGCTGGAAGACAGACTTGCACTGGCGCAATGTTTTGAAGATATATAAGATTTGGCCTTTTTGTCCGGCCAGGTACAACGACTACACGAGGGACCCATTGTCTGCCTGCAATTGCACGCCGCCGTACAGCGCCGAGAACGCCATTTCGGCGAGGAGCGACCTGAACCCTGCCGACGGAGTGTACCCGTTCCATTACTTGGGTCATGAATCCCACGGAGCCACCAACATGAAGGTTGGTCTCGATCGTCCGGCTTAGCTCCTTGCCACTATCGCACTGCCATTCATAATTGCATTTTTAAATCGGATAGTTTCATTGGTGGGAACTTCCACGAACTAACCTTTCTCCGTATGATGTCTCAATGTCACCTGACGTTTCAGTGTGACGTGACGTGACAATGTCACGTGATGTCATGGTATTACGTTTATATCACATCACGTGACGTCACTGTACCATGTTACCCCATGCGCATGCTACCGTTAAAGACCCTATCAAGTGCTGTCGCACTTTCATTGCATTTAACGAAATGTCTAAGCTAGGTTTTTTTTTTTTCAGTGTGCATGTACCGTATAACAAAGAGGGCCGTATTAAAGTTTCGAAGGAGAGTAAACGCGTGCAATGCAACCACAGGCATTACCACCACTTGGCAAGGATGGCAGCGATACTGCAGACACAAGCTGTTTGATATATGTACCCGCCTGTCTCGCCGTGGTGGTATTTAGACCATTTGCGACATAATCCTGTTTCTGTTCTTCATCTAAAAGACAGTCCCTGGGCTCTTTTCCATGACCCTGGCTAAAGCGCTATACCTTTGTTCATGGTATTGCTTAATACTCTACGATGATCGCATGTTGGGTCATCGGGTACCATAAAGAGTGACACTAGCCAACAGTAGCGCACCGACGCACAGTGGTGCACATTGGCGGATTCCATAAGAATCCACCAATGAATCTTGCTGTAATTTTTTTGCGGTATATCCCCTTCATGAATCAGAACCAACTAGCCTAACTTGCAGTCTCCATCTGAATATACGGGTCCATAGCAGTCACTGTTATAAAAACACTACCCCTCGTCCCTAAGAAGCACACACATTGTGTGATCCAAACTAGAAGGTTAAAACAATAGCTTCGGCCGTTACCCATTAGTACTAGGACTCGTCCCGAACTAACCTTGACGAGCTAAAAAGTAAACCTCAATTTATCAACAGATGGGGGGTTTAAAAGGAAACTAAAGTGGCCTCTCCTCAGGACCACTAACCCTGTGTTCTTATAAAATTTAGTTGTATAATTCCGTCGTTTATACTTTTTATCTTACCGCGGCCGCAACTTAAAAATTCGGAGTATTTTAGGATTAATCTGAACTGACGAAACTTTTACCGGCGAGCGTTTTTCGGATTATCACCGATAAGCGATGGAAAAAGTTGGCGATGTAGGCCTCGATGTCTTTCCCGCTCTTCAGCTGACCAACAGCAGACTGTTCGCGGACCTGATGTTCACCGCCGTGGCAGGCCCCACCTACGACCCGCTCCCGCCGTTTCGGTGGAGTACGTCAGGGTTAAAAGACCGCCACGACGGGCAGCCGGACCTGTGGCAGTTCACGCCCTTCACCCACAAGTGGGGCTCGGGAAGTAGGCATCGGGGACCTCGTCGTAGGTCGCGCGATGCGGAAAAGCCGATTCGCAACAACTGCTCACGACAGAGTGCATTAAAACTGCATGGGGTGTCTTACGACGAGAGCCTGCCGACAGTCTAGGAACTAAGACCAGAGATCTGACAATCAAATACTTCCCCGCCATTTTTTGTTACAAATTCATGACCAACTCTAGATTAGCCAGCCATGTCTGCAGTGACGTATCATCGCACTGAAAGGGTCTCTTATTAACGTAAATGCCTTTGGCTCTTTCCACGTAATTAATTGCTCACAATTCGTTATCTGCAATGATACCGCCAATATATTAGTTTTCCAATTCCTTTTGTTGCCTAGAAAAATATGTTTATATATCCCCACCACCGCCACAATTGGACACTGCGGAAAGCGTTTGCTATGCAGGAACTGCGAGCCTGTGCTCTAAATTTCCTGACACTTTTGAAAACATGTTTCTGCTTGAAGACAAACATAAGAAATGCTTATTGGTAAGTATTGTTATTGGAGATTGACACAAAGTGGGCAGTTTTTGAATGCAGTGACCAATTACACACGTAATAAAAACACCGATGAATGAGAAATGCTTTCATACCGCTACCTACAACCGTGAATTTAAATGGGCCCACTAGGAGTGAAATTTCGAAACGAAATCGAATTTCCACTTTGCGTTTTCGCGAGGTATGCTTGTTCTAGCTAGATTTAGCGGGTCACAAGCACCATTCATCTGCCGACCTCCCGTAGCGGCAGCGCCGAGAAGCTTGAGAGGAGGTCGTTTTGACTCTGTCGTCTGCTATCGCTGCTTGGTTCTCGTGAACAGCATAAGAACAAACATTGTTTCCAGTAATTATTTTTATGCTTCCGCTGTGTCATTTCTATGCACCGATTAGAAGGAGGGTTCTACCGTCGAAAAATCACTTTGCTTTCATACATCTGTTAACACCGATTTTACACTGCACTTCACGAAATTTTTGGTGGTCCGCGTGCTGAACGACGAAAACCACTGATCTCTATTGTAGTAGGCTGGATCGCGAATCAAGGCTTGTCTTGCTGGGGTGGGGTGGCACCCCCGGAAGCCATCACTTGACATCAGCTAATGCACAGGACTCTTTGGGGAAAACGAGAAAAAGAGTCATTTCCGCCGCTGCTAAGCTTTTGTTGACACTGAAATTGTTGGGCTGCTGTTCAGGAAGCCAACCAAATAGCTTCTGCACAAACATTAAAACTGACATCTCTCACAGTTTTTATAAATGTGCGCCCAAACGGAAAAGAGTGTGGGCGCGACTGAAAATGGCCAATTCTCGACCGTCTGTTTTCGGGGGGAAAGAAAACGAATTCTGATACGCAAATTATGTTGCGGGTGGTTGGCCCCTTTAGAAGTCACATTCAAATAAAAACCTCGGCGAGCATAAATACTCTGTCGGTGTCCCTTTAATCGGGAGAGCTGTAGCAGCACGAGTGGTTTTACTGCACCCACTGCGGTTACAACAAATCAAAACAGTACACGGAAGAACGCTATACCGTAAAATACCAAGCAAGCTCCCACTCAAAATTTGAATACAGTAGCGACAAAAGTGGGAATGGGCGCCAGTGAGGTCATCAATTTTACATATAAATGTGCTGTGCATATATTATCTGATGTTTCTAGTTTTAGGGGTGGGCGCTTAGTGCGGAACGGGTGCCATGCACGGTATTCTACGGTACTCCGTTTCACATTTAGTTCAAGCGCTATTAACGCTGACGCCTGCCAATGAGGCCAATGAACCTTCTCGAAAAGCGCTAGATCACGGCAGTTTTCGTGTTTCTGTGCATGCTATCGCCAACTAATCCAATTACGTGCGAAGAATACATCGTCACATCGAGTTTTAAGTCAGTGCATTTGTGCTCGTATTTCAACAAGTTTTTTGGCCCGCTTTCACGTGCCTGCAATCAAATTGCGAAGGCTAGAAATCAAGGAATCGAAATGAACAGATGTGCCACGAAGGAACCCATCTGCAAACAGAATCAAGTGTTGTCACTAACATGAGAGCTGCACGATGTTTCTTTCTAGTGAAGAGATCCTTCAGTTGTCCCTTCTCTAGCAAGTTTGTTGCCTCCTGCCATGCCCACATGAACCAAGTCCATTGGAGACCACAGTCCCTCCAGAGATATTTATTGCATAAATTTCACTGTACAAAAATAAAGATACAGTCCTGTTTCCAAGTCCTACAACACCTTAACATTGAATAAAACAGTGTCTCTAGTCATACCTACTAAAACCATAGGCAGACATCAAGATTCTCCTGCAACAATCTTTCGGCTCAACAGACGGCACCCTTTAAACCTAGCAGCTCTTGCCACTCGACTAGAAAGGCAACTCGCCACCACCGCCGACCTTCCTCGACAACATTCTACAAATGTTTGCAAGCGACCATTCTTCAAAAGCTAGGCTGGTTTGTGGTTATTGTGAGAAATGCTTTGTTTGGGTGCTAGTCTAGCAACTGTGGGTATGCCTCAGCAAGACTTCACCATCAGATGATCTACATATGCCACCAGGAAGACTGCCGCACCCAAAAGCCATACTTGTAAACATCTATATGGGGGTGGTAAACATTGACACCAATACCTGGTCTACATGAGCCAAGCAACAGCAGACAATATCAATCCTGACAAAAATGGCAAGTTAGGATAACGCAAAAAAAATACTGTTGGGGAAACAAATGGACGGCCGTGACTCATGGCCAGCAATACTAAAGTATCCATTGTTTCAGGAACTTTATTAAAAACATCATGCACAAACCTTTTTCAGATCACGTTAAAGGCGTGTAGAATGTCTGGGCCATTTAGTAATCCGACAAGTATGCACATACGTATAACCTGGAAATAAGCTGAATGAAGCATCATGAGCCGTAACTGTAATAGGAATTCCTGAGATAAAAGTGAAGACTCAATTACCTTAATTAACTTACCCAATAAACATTATATCACTACTACATGCACCTCAAATGCCTAGAACCTTTGTACCACACACTGAAATTATAGTCTTTGTAATGGCATAAATACTCCAGCAGGTCTAGCAAAAAATAATTCGGCACCTCATGGTAATGCCAGTTCAAACTGACACACTCTAAACGCTGCTACAAAATTATTCTCTCCAGAAACCTCAACTCAATGAGACCCATCGATGGCAACCACCCTACCTAAAAGAATAACGTAATCTGAATATATCCAGCAATCAACCTTGCCTATACCCAAAAAATACAAAAAAATCAATATGTCGTTCAATCACAATACGGAGCACAATCTTTGCTACACGGCTAAAGCGCTACACTCCTTTTTGTACCTTGTCCTCACCACGACCGTTTCTAAATCACCGGGTTATGCAGAATGTATGCGTGACATTGCAGAGCAACTTTGATGCACCAATCGAGAGTCAGTGAAGTGAAATGACGCTCACAACGACATACTGGTACAAGCCACACTTAAAACTGTTTACAACATTCAGACAGCGACTCGAAGAAATCCCAAGTTGTAGGCACTATTCCTAATGGAATGTGGCAATTCACTTGTTCATCGCTCCTTAGCCTGCGGCCTGGCAGATGGCGCCAACGGAAATATTGGCAGATGCTTTCTAAAAGAAAAAAAAGGAAGACGCTTAATACGCGTTGCATGGATTAAAAAGACAAATGAAGGACAGTGACGCAACTGACCAAAGTCATTTTGTAGCACCTCTTGAAGCAGCCAAATGTCCATTACGAAGCAGGAGAAAGTACTTTTGAAGCACAAGCACACACTTCATTTTCATTTGCACCATTGCAAATATTACGTGTTAAGATTCGTGCATTGGCCTATCCAACTAAAAAAAATGTGCATGCTTTGCCTTCACACTTCTGTGCAACTGCAGGTTTGATTTCCTCAAATACAGCACTAGCTCTTTAGTTGCACATAGGAGCTCTAGGCATGGCAACAAGAGGCTGATCGATGAAGGACAGTATGGAATGCTGTGAATGGTCGTTTTAGGTACGAAACAAAATGTAAACTGAATAGTATAATCCACTAAAATAATGTTAGAATAATCTTGAGCACACAAATTGAGGTTTCACTCAAGTTCTAAAGGTCCTAATAAAACAAAAATTCTTAACTCAAATTAAAAAAAAAACTTTTTTTTTATTAAATTATGGAAATGAATGACATTCTGTATGTAGACCCTCATAATAACAGAGATCGGCATGTGAACGATAAGTATGCCTTCTTAAAGCAATCCAGTCAAAGTCGGTAAAGTTAGTCCCAAGCTTCCTTCTACTGCTTCACCTAATTTAGTTATATTTTTGTTCTATCGACTGTATCTCAAACGGACAAAACATGAAGGTGACAACTAAACAACGGAGTTCAAATAAAATAAACATATAGAGCTGTTTGTATAAATTGTATTGCGAGTACCATCGGTAAGTCCCGAATTTAAATTAGGTTTCGCCAGAATACCGCAGCTTATCATAAATAATAGCCGCAGTTTAATTCGGAAATTTTTACTGCAACTAATAGCTGTTACTTCTACACTCACAAAGTTCCTTTTTTAAATTAATATGTCCGACGTTTGTGTGTTTAACGTTCTGCTCTGGGAGAATGCTTTTTTCCCTTTAGCAGTCGGATGCATTCCAGCAAACCAAGATAAACCAAATGGCTATGCTTACTTTGCGATTGCCGCTTCATTACAGTACACAGGAGCGTGGTGAGAAGCATGGTCAACAAAGATAAGTTACACGCTACAGCAGACTACGAACATAAGAGATATTGCGAACGTTCCGAGTACTGTCAGTGTTTGACACTGACGGAGAGGTCACATAGGATAAAACATTATTTGTGGCTAAAATCAAAAGCTGTGAAAATTCGTGCAAGTCAGCCATAACGACCTGGATGTGCATCGGGGCCTGAGCCATTATAGTATTTTCAGTATGAATGTTGACGCAAGTTCCTCACATTTGGGCTAAATGTAGCAGGATGTAGCGGGGCAGGCCTTTTGGCACAGTTTGGTGCAAATGGCGCAGCAATAGCACCACTGGAAAAAGTACCATATTTTCCTGGATATAGTCCGTCGGGGCGAATTTCAGTTTAAACAAGGTTTTTTTTATATAGTTTGCACTTGATGCCTGGTGCATACTAAGGCCACTAAATTGCGGAAAAGTAGTGCCAAGCTTTCCCGTACGGTCGCCATTTTGGTCCATGGAATAAGCCGGTTCTCCCCGATCTCTCCATTTTTAGAAAGCCAATTAAAATTCGCGGCGACAGGCTGCTTTACAAAGACTTGGGTTGTCAACATGTTACTAATCTGCTTGTATCCTGCTAGCAGGCAGGAAAGGCGATGGAACTGCTTTCCGAGGATCCAGCAACTCTAGTCCGAACATAAAAAGGTTCTCGTACACAGCACACCTTGGCAAGTGGCTGCTTCACTAGCTCACAACGAAAGCTCATATCAGACATAAGTCATCATTAGCATACCTTTCCGTTTCAAAGCCCATCACGTCTAGTCCATAAGGAACAATCTATAAAAACAAATCCTCGTATAGTCCTCACCCGTAGATAGTCTGCACCGCATAAAATTTCAGCTTTTAGAGATGTAATATAGCCCTTGGACTGTAGCCAAGAAAACATTGTACTTCTGACATCATTACAACCGATTTTCGCGTGTCTGCAAGTATCATTTCAAATCAACAAGTGCACTGCAGCCCCATTTAAACTGGGTATTGAGCAACTGAATGCTACGTTCTGACCCTACTTTTGTTATTGCATCAATGGTGTCCTGTAATAAAAAATGCTCATGATTTCGTGGCACATCTTGTTTTCAGCAAAGCAGCTGAAGTATATTTCTGGACCTATACTGTTCAGAGTACACGCTCCTCAAACGCATTCTTTTACATCGTTCAGCGAGCTCAAAAGGCCGACGGAATTTCAACTTCAGCGAGCTAGCGTTGAAATGCTCACATAAGGATACTACTGCTTGTACACTTTTAAACATTGATTCTAGTAACATTTTCTTGAAGACTTGGAAGCAAACAAACCAAGCCTCCTCGTGTGATGGTTCTGGCCTTATTTATAAATTACTTACAGCCGGAAGCATGCAATCACAACGTCCGCATGCATCGAAACGAGGGTATTCTCCCAAGTGCACGGGTGCGGTGCAGGAAAACGACCCCGCGTGTGCTAGGAAGCTTCTGAGGGGCACTATCTGGATTCACATACGACCACTATGTGGGAAAGCGGCCCCACAAACACGTACGGCAGTTAGAAGCGCTCTTCCCTTTGTGCACGGGGCTACTGCAGGAAAGAGGCAGCGTGCACGTGACCCATCGGGAGAAGCGCCTTGCTTGATATACGTTGCATTGAAGTGTCAGGGCAAAGCAATAGCGAGGTCAAAATGCAGATCTGAACCTCTGTCCAAGAGCTTTTTTATGGCAGGTGGCCATATTGCCAGAACCAGTGTTGTGTAAAGTACATCTAAAAAGTACCTCAAGTAAAGTAAATAAGAGGCTATGTACTTCAAGTAAAGTAGTAAGTACACTGGGCACAATGTACTTGAAGTAAGGTACTATAAATACAATGTAGTTTTAAAGTAAACCTTTTAACACAATCTTTCATAATGCCATTTCATTTCCTTATACAGTTTTCTTTTTTTCCAAACTGGTATACCTACATTGTTTTAGGGGTAATGAGGGTGCATTAGTTATTTCCTAAAATGGTGGCAAATATTGGATAAAGTAAAGTTGTCACAAAGTAGTTGTTTTACTCTCGCTGACAAACTATTTAACACAATCAACTTATAAGGCACTTATTTGTATCGGTCTTATAGCTGCCGTTGCCTCTCGGAGAAATGACCAGATAATGTACTGAAAGATGATAGCGCGTGTTCAAATAATGATATGCCTTTTTTTTCAAATTTGGGGAATGTATTTTGAAGTCAGGAGTTGTATCTTCCTTGCAAAGTACCATACTTTAAGTACAAGTACACATTCAGAGGATGCACTTCAAGTAAAGTACAAGTTTTCTAAACTTACTCGAAGTAGTAAGTATGATCTACTCAAAAATAATACTTTAAGTAACTCTCAACACTGACCAAAACCAAACTGCGAATTCGGGATGGGTACTGTGTATTGATGCACATGTCTGTTCATCATCTTGCTAGATCCTACGAGCCTTCACATACTCACAAGAGAATGCAGCATAGCGACAGTCAAATTGTGGCTCAATCATTAAAATAAGATGACTACTACATGGGCATACCAACCGGGGGGCAAGGGGGGTGCTTGCCCCCCCAGTTCTCAGAGTGGGGGGGCAAGGCATGTGTTTTGCCCCCCCCCCCCCCCCCCCCTGAAACAGCCAACACTGGGCAGGGCAAACACTGGCCGGCAGTGCCCAAGGGATACCCAAGGGCACTGCCCCCCGACTCGGGGGGGGGGGGGGGGGCGGCGGGAGGGGGAGGTCTGGTTTGCCCTCCCACTCAAAAACAAGATGGTATGCCACTGAACTATTATAAAAGTAAGAGGGCAGCATTAAACCATGAAGTTCAATAGGCCAACATAGGCATTGTTCATAAACTTTGCATAAGAACAGAATGTTGGGAAGCCTGCACCGAGATGATACGGGGGAATGCTCCAAACCGTGCGTTTTGGCATTGTTTTTTTTGCGGACCTTCCTCTGTCTTTTTCTTCTCCGTGTTCGCTCACTTTGGTTTCAGTTTGCACTGCGCAGGTTTTTCATTCTCTTTCTGAAAACAATGCATGCGCTCTCATGGTTTAGAGGGCCGCATATTCCAACAAAGTTGGATATAGCTGACCAGTTGTCTCGTTATACACCCATGTTTTATGTACATTTTTGTTACAAATATTTGAATGTAGGATATAGCGAAACCTGCTGTACCTGGTTTCGCTATGAATGGGCTCGACTCCATTCAAAGTTCCCTGACTCGTGCGAGACCCAATGTTTCTACAGACATAATCGAGAGTTTAGGGATAAACTTGACGGAAGACTTGCTGAGCACTGTTTGTGCGTCATAAGAATGGAACATACACCCCGAGGCAGGTGTTGCTCCTTGTGAAAAATCCTTCATAAGGGACTACACCCCAAGCACGCCTGAGCTACACAGGTTGGTGTTCTCATACGCAACTGTCGGTAGTAAGCTGAGAAGCCAGAGTAGCGTGGAGCCTGAAATGCAAGAGATCCCATGTCTTGCCTTCTGACTGGAAGATCACGGTGCTTTGGGCTTGACGTCCTTGATGGAGCCAAAATTGAGCCTCATCTGTTCGAGGAAGATCCAAGTGAGCACGGTGTGGGGACCCAGCCTCACAAAAGCTGGAACAAAGCCCTGGGAAAGAAGGAGCACGACCGTGTGAAGCGTTAAACTTGTTTTAGGTCGCTGAGCATGCGCTCGACCAAACATACTGAAATGCACACAAGAGGTTTTTGAGTTTGTCTTTCGATGGCAATAACCCCAATCTATACGGCAGAATCTCGATGATACGAATCTCGAGGGATTGCGGAAAATATTCATGTCATCCGAAATTCATAGGAAAAAAAAACAAGCTAAAAAAGTACTTGAAAGCAAAGGGGGGGGGGGGGGGGGGGGGCAGGGCAACTTGCAATTTATTGGTTACACTCCCCGCCAAAGAAACCAGTAATGTTCATCCAAGTCCTTTTTTTTTTTCGACGTCACCCGGGAGACGCCTTTGGAACACGTAAAAACGTGTGCATGTGTCGTCGCTGACGTTGACCGGGCTCGCTATGCGCCGCAGCACGTCGAGGGCATTCAGTGTTTCAGCAGTCGTCGGCGGTTGCTTGTTGTTAGTTACGTTGCTGTCACCATCGATGGTGCCAGGCCTAGCTCCTTCGCCAAGTCCGTGCTTTTTCTTTTAGGGTTCTCGTCCACTTTCCTCAGAACTTCCAGCTTCTCTTTGAAGGACGGCGCTTTTCTCTTGCGAGACATGTTGAAACGAGTGGAAACTCAAGCTGGGCAGATGAGAGATGTCCTTCCAAAAGTTGGTTGATGAAAATCTCACAAAGTTCTACTGATGTGCGTGTGCAAACAAAAAGAGTTCTGCCAGTTCTGCGGATGCTTGCTCGTTGACGATCACAAGATCAGCGCTGATTCCGAACGTCATTTCTCGTGTTCACTCGAGTGATCGAGTTACTAAAACCCGTTTAATATACAAAATATAGTAAGGGTGCAGGCCAGCTCATGAATATTAACCATGTTGAATTAACCTGAGACTGGAGTAGAAAGGAAACAAAAATATAGAAGGGACAGAAAATAGATAAGACAACATTTCAAACATGGCTAACCTAACGTCTATTATCTGATAACAAAAAATAAAGCAGCAACCCTGGAGTAGGTGAATGCGAGTTACTCCAGCAAGTCGAATTCAAATCACCGACAACATAGTATACCGTAATTACTCGCATAATGAACACAATTCTTTTCCCAAAAAATTCACACACATAAAAGTTTTCCATTTACACTTTTTGTGCGAATGTCATATTAGGTGCCAATATGACACGGCAAGGTACTGGGCACATCTCCACTGATGGAGGCGCACCCACAACTGGTCGGGGGCATGCCACAGTAACCATGCTTTATAAATTGCGAACCTTTTCAGGGCGCTTTCGGCGTGCCTTTTGCCAAAGAAAAAGCGCCCTACGAAGCTCACTCAGCAAAGAGAGCAACGCGACCGTTCTTAGGCCTAATCACTTTCACTCACGGTCCGAAAACTGACCACAGACGACGGCGTGTTTGTTGACATCAATGCATCCAATAGGCGAAGAATGTTCGGGGCTGGGCAATTTCTTGACCCAACCTTCGTCAAGTGTGCACAACGCTCGGTTTCACGGTTGATCACTTCCTTAACTACGCAATTGCAGCAATTACAAGAGCGGCTTGGCTTGGCTCGACTTGGCCCGACCGCTTGGCAGCAAAAAAAAATTGGCTTGGTGGCTAGCTAAATTGGATGCAATTCGAGACTTGCGGAGCCAAAAATTGTAGGTGTGTTCATTACGCGAGGGAAAAGAAAAGTCCAAATATTGGTGCCCGTTTTAGGGGGTGCGTTAATTATGAGAGTGCGTTCATTATGCGAGCAAATACGGTATAGTGAAGGAATGCTGGACGCTGGTATGTTTTCGAATTTCGGAAAGCAGGCACGGTTTTTGATTGCACGGCAAATATGTAGAAAGAACGTAAAACAAAAATGACGCAAAAATGGCCGCTACTGTTGCAGCAGCCGAGTGATGCCACCGTGGCCCGAGAAAGCATTCGGACTATCTTGAAACGTAACGCAAGAAGCATGTTCAGTAGCGGCTTCCTCAGCTCCAAACGCAGTAACTCAAGTAAAAGTTTTCCAAGCGCATACTGAGCGGCAAAAAAAGCGCGGCTCTTCAGCTGCTCCTATGCAGTTTCCGCTTCCTTCCCTGTGGCAGACGGTCTCCGAATAAAATGGAAGCAGACGACGTTGAGCACGATCCATTTATTTGATGCCGGTATTAAAGAAGTTTCGAACAGGTCGTTGGAGAAAAAGCGAGCGACGGTGGACATTAGTGCTGCTGTTTGAAGCGATCGATCCCTTCACAGGGCGGTGCAAAGGCCTGCTACTGTTGTAAAAACCCACAAAAACGTAGCAACACACACAAAATATGAAGCTCGGGAAAAACCTGTGCCGCCAGTTACGATACTTTTAGACGGCGATACGTTTTCTCTGCACTTCTTTACGAAGTTCCCGTAAAAGTTATTCGTATAGAGACGGAAAGTTTGCCACGCTCGACGGTTAACGTTTTGTGTGCCGAATTGAGCTTCTGCCACTGTCTCGTGCTCATATGCATCCCGATTTAGCTACGCAAACAAAACATTAATCGGGATCACGTTTTACGCGAGCGTCCAACCGAGCACCAAAGTCACGTTCATACCCTGCCTTACTCTGTCCAGCACGAACAGGACTATCGTCGATAATAAGAGAGTCTCCGTCCAAAGGCGATCAAAACATTGTGTCGAATGAACGTTTACGTGGTTTATTAGAATATCCCTAACAAACGAAATACACTCCAAGACATTTTCCGAAAAGAGCTTGGGCTGGAAACAAAATTCGAACTTGTTATTCGTTTTACCTCGAGAACCTTTCGTTATCAAAAGCGAAGCAAAACGCAGACCCACACCGCAGCCGACTGAGGTTCTCCCGCCATTTTGCTTCTTTCAGCACCGGAACTTCGTAAGCAATCCCGAAATACGTCATACCGCGCTTATTTCACTCTTCGCCCGCCGTCTCAAAACACGGTGTTCGAGAGCGCAACTCCTCTACCCCAGAGTAACCCGCACCAGGAGTCGCTTTTTGCCATCTAGTGCAAGCTCCTCGACTCCCGGAGCCGCAACTGAACGCGCCCCTTAATCTTAAAGGGGCCCTGCGAGGACTTTTTTACTGGTTTTTAATTTGCACCGAACTTGAGTGCACTGAACGTAGTAACTTAGTGAAACTTTTTTTTCTCAAAATTCCCTTTATTTTGAAAGTTATAGGCAAATTAAACTTACAAAAACAAGCAAAAATGAGCCTCCCTTATGACGTCCTTCGTTGCTTGAGAGTGGCCGTAAACTAGAGAAGGGGTAGTGAGCTAATCGAGCGCTCACGGCTGCCATACTCCCTGTCGACGGCGTGAGAGGGCGCCACTAAAGCATGTTCTGTATGCAGCGGGCAGCCAGAGCGGCTCTCATTGCATTTGCTGCGCGATTAAATACTAATTTGGCATGAAACTTCACTGGCCACAACCGACAGCAAACACGGGGTAAAGATCAGTTCAGAATGGAAGCCACTTTGTGCTGCCATAAAAATTTTAAAACAGTTTGCGCCACTTATATTTTGTATTTAGACTAAAGAGAAGTTTTTAGCGGCTCTGACCTGTAGTAAAGCCCAGGACCAAAGACGTCACATATCGCCTGCTTTTGGTACCGCGGGTCGCCCTCGTAGGTGGAGGAGGTTTCAGCGTTGTCCGTTGTCCGGTTAAAATATGACGCACTGATATTTAGTTACCCTCTCCATGCCCACTGGCTTGCCCGAACCCCAAGAGACGTAGAAACCGCAAAAAAGGTAGACGTTTAAATATGATTGCAGTGCCCCTTAAAGGGCTACTCTACCGTTTTTTTCATTGTCTCTGATTTGCTTGAAATTTTGCTAAACTAACCAACAAACATTGCTAAAATAGTATCCCAAATATTGGGTCAAAATATTGTTTTTTCACGAAGTTATTGAATGTACAGTTTTGGTCTTCACCATGTTTTTCAAACTGAAAGTCTCTACTGGCAACAACAAAGTGACGTCAGTGGAAGGCAGGGGTTAACTTTTTGGACTACAGAAGTTGTTCCCAACGGATTTGAAGCAGTTTCTTGGTGTAAAATGAGTGCTTTGGAAGCTCGCTCCCGTATCCGCGCTCCAGCACGGAACAAATGATTAGCATATTATATATTTAGACTACTTGCTCAACTGGCAAGCCTGCCTGCCACTGACGTCACGGCACTGAAAAGTGCGCAAATATTTGAATATTGGTTTTTGCACCATTTTCATTTGCCGATTTCACAATACCTATTATGAATTTCGCGCTGCTAAATAGCATACCGGAAAGGCTAAAGGCCGGGGAGTCAGAAAATATAGTTAGTTGAGGTAGCTCAAAAAATCGCTGGAGTACCCCTTTAAAGAGACTTCAGCCGGAAATTAGAAAAAATTTGTGCCGCCCCAAAATTAGGACGAACCGTAATTGTGTCATCGAGATTCTACTGTATGTATTATAAGCGTCCCATAACAGTCAGGAGTGTGATCGTGCATAGCTTTGTTTCCCGCCAAAGACACATTAAAAGAGTGCAACAAGATTAGTGGTTGGCCATTAGTGCCATTAGCAGAAGAAAAACTGAGCCAAGCACGATCGTAATTTTGGGGTTTTCAGGTCGCCTAGCGCACAGAGTGAGTTACCACCATAAGCAGACAAACTCAAAAGCATTTTAGTGCCCCTCTAAAGTGTGGCAACTACATTTATAAAGCCATGTCATTATACTTCAACATTATTTAGACATGCTTCAAACCAAAAACACACCAAACTACCAGAGTTAAAAAAAACAAACAAAACGTAATGAAGTGAAAACAACTTTAAGACCTGTGTATAATCTGTTCCAATAGTTCCTACATATAACATGGATTCTCCACACAGCACTGAGATTGACAAACAACTTCAGGAGGGTGACCCCCAACCATGACATTTATCATCATCGACCAACCACATACCTTGAAGAATGCCCCAAGACCCAGCTTTTTCGTTTCTATGAAGCAGTGCCATATACTCTGTAAATGCACAAAAGACAAAAAAAAGTGATTATGTCAAAGAGAATTTCATCTGCATGCGTGAGACTATGCAAACACTGCAGCCTCAGCCAAGATGCTCCAGTCTAGAAGGCCAGAAAGCAAAAGAATATCAACATTAGCCCAAAATCACACATTTTCATGCACTAAACTACAGTTGGCGGACAAAAATCAATATTCCTCGATTAATAAAAAAAAAAAAAAAAAAAAAACTCAGAACAAAACGCTTTATTTTGAAGTTGGTAAACATAACCTTTAAGATGGAAAAAATTTGATTTCGGAATTGCTTCCAAAAATAGTGTTTCACCTCTCAGAAAAACATAAAAAACACAAAAAACTACACATAAAAGAGAAAAATTCAGCAAATTATTTTCGTACAAGACACAACATAAGGACACTAGAAAACATTGTAAAAATTTCCACTTCTGCTGAGACTCAGACAGATGTGCCATACTCAAAGCAGATAATTACGAAAGTCAAACATGAACCATACAAATGTTTCTTTTCTCCTCAGTATCACAAACAGTGACACCATTAGAGTCAATTTATAAATGGTTTAATCGATTTATGTGGCAAAATACCTGTCTTCATTAGCCATTGGTCATTAGTGCCTTGGATACCCCACGCTTCCATCAAAGTATGTATGCTTTAGTGGTGTATTAAATACCTAGTGATTGCAGGTAGTGTGACAGGTATCATCTATACAGGAACAGTAGCTCCAGTTCAAACAATTACCGTAAAGTACCTTGGAAGCGCCCACCCAAAATCGGGCGATAATCCTGGAAGACCGGTGGATGGGCGCTCAATAGGTCCGAGAGCAAAAATGCAGCAGAGACGCATGAGGGGGTGGGCTTCACTGCTTCAGAGCTGTATATTGCGAGAGTGTGCACGGTTTACGATCTCGCTGCCGTAACGCCCCCCTCCCGAGTGAGCCAATCGGCCCGTGGCGCCGAGTGAGTGGCGTGAGCGCATGCGCGTCAACTCCCGGCTGCGGGGAGGGCCGCCATTTTCATTCATTCGTCCAATGGAATGCACGAGATTGACATCCGAATTTCGCTTCTTTCCTTTCATTTCGCTGGCTCTGGCAAGAAAATGATATAAGTGATATTCCTCGGTTGGTTAAACAGCTAACGAATGAAGTTTTCTCGACGTCTGACCGCAAACTTTTATTTGGGCAGAAAAGAAGGCTGCCTGTCACAGACGACGCATAACCTCAACGGTGTTCTGCGCCGAGAGTGTGTTGCGTCAAAATGGCGGTCTTTCCTCCTTGCTTCCTCCTTCCTCTCTCGCTCCTTCGGCACTCTCCCCCCTTTCCTTCCCTTTTCTCCACTCCAGCGCCTTTGTTGCCACGCCTATTAGCCAAACTCTCCCAATATACGGCTCTGCACCGCTTTGCCCCAGCATGCATATTTTGCTTCAGCACACACGTGTCAAGCTTCTCCGCTATGCGCCGGTGTGCTCGGAGAAGCGGTTGCCGCGGGGGACCATTTCCGTTTCTAGGTCGGGTACTGAACCGAAATTTCGAGCTCACAAAACAAGGCTGGACGGATAGGCGGGACGCTGCAAAACCCAAAAAACATGACTCGTACAGTGATATCTCTAAAGGATCGCATTATTTTTGGAAAAGAATAGCGGGATTGAACACGGCCGACGAGGCCGATGCGACAAGTCAAGTCACGATTCTCCATTCCCTCTCCTCCTCGCTTCATCCCGTCAAACTGGTGAACCGAAGCGAGAAGAAGAGAAAGCGAGGTCGCTTCCCCTCATTCTCAAATTCTCCTGGAGAAAAATGACGTCAAAGACCTCGCTTGATCGCACCCTTTTTTTTTCCAAAAGTATGGCCATCCATTTGAGATATCAACGTATGAGTGAGGTTTTGGAGTTCGTAGTGCCCCGTTCAACGCTTCTGCGGCCTTATTCTGCTAAATCCAAATTTTTGACTCGGTATCTCTTTAAAGGGACCATGAAATGATTTTAAAATCGAGTTTCATCCACCGCACGTCGTAAAAGGTGTGAAAAGAAACACAAAAACACAAAAATAGGAAGCCAAAAAAATTATTTGCTATAGAACTTTTAAAAGAAAACTGGACTCTTTTGCGCATCCCTTCCTTCGCCTGTTCACTACGATGCATCCGCGGAAATGGAGCACGTCAGCCAAATCCAGGTCGCCTATTGGGTAAGAGCCTACCTCACCAGCACCGCGATCGTAAACAATAAATAGCCGGCGAATGTTTCCTAAAAGTTTTGTTAAATAATATTCAGATCCACATTTTGTAGCATAATTAGAGATGTGTGGCGAAAATTGCCAAATTTGATAATGCTGAGAGCCAAGCGCCATCTATCGTGTGGTAAACGAAGCAACTACTGCGCGTGCGCAGTAGGGCAGGGCCGACAGTTACTTGGGTGGCGGTGACCGACGAACGTTTATTTTCTTTGTTTTCCTTCCTCTCAAAACTCTGACTGACTGAACGTTTATTTTTCTACGTGTTCTTCCCGCGCGTGCCGACTTCAAGCAGCAAGAAAACAGTACTTAAAACAGACCACGACAAACAAGAACGCTGGATTCGCCGACTCCGACGAAGCGAGCTGCTCAGAATATAGGCCTAGCAGGCAATCCGACTCGGCGCTGCGTTGCTTCGTCGCAAGACAGTCTGCCTACGACCGGCTGGCGTGCTAAATGGAATATGCCCGCGCGACCCTTGTGGACCCTTCCCGTATTATACCAGGTGAAACAAGGAGACGGTAGGCTCTTTAAATCGACCGGAAAATTCGGTTTCTTAACCTATCGCGCTACGACTTTGTGCAGCGTTGCCCACAGATGGTGCATTTTTTTTTGTAAAATTTGCAAAGAGCAAACTTACCTGAGGAAAAAGTAAAGAAAGAAAAAGGCTTAGCTCCTATGGAAACGCAGCGATGCCTCCAGTCTGCAAACAAAACGGCGCCGCTTCGCACGGGAGACAAGAGATGGCGCAAGCGGTCGCGACGCCAACTGCCGCCAACGAACGAGCAGACGACGCCGAGAGTCAGCCTTTTTGCAGACAAGGAACTGCAGTTCCTTGCTGTTACCGCGCCTGTCTTTTTTTGTTTCTGCGACTGTCGCCGCCTACGGAACGCGCTCCGCTTTTGAGTCGAAAAGATTGTCTGCTAAAATGGCCTGCTCTCGGCGCCGTATGCTCGTTCGTTGCAGCGTTCGTTGCGCCATCTCTTGTGTCCAGTGTGAAACGGCACCGTGTTGTTTAAAGACCGGTGGAGTCGCTGCATTTCCATAGGAGCTAAGCCTTTTTCTTTCTTTACTTTTTCCTCAGGCAAGTTCGTTCTTTGAAAATTTTACGAAAAAAATGCACCATCTGTGGGCAACGCTGCACAAAGTCGTAGCGCGATAGGTTAAGAAACCGAATTTTCCGGTCGATTTAAAGAGCCTACCGTCTCCTTGTTTCACCCGGTAGTTTGATCACTGACCTCAATTCTAGATTAAGAGGTGAGGTCAATCTCTTCCCCTTGTTTTCCGAGGCAGTGTTGACGAACACTCGTCGAAAAGGGACTCTCGTCGATTGTATCTTCTTGTTTTGTGTGATATAGAGCTGAAATAAACGCCGTATGGATTACCTTCGTAACACGGTATGTACACTTTGTTATTGGTATGCCATTTTTATTCTGACAGACTGCACGTCACTGTCGAGCTATAACAGTTCGTGGGAGGTATACGTACAACCCCGGTCCAACCTTTCTTTGCCGAGTGTCGCGTCAGTATCGAGTTGCAATCGTAAAAGAACGGTCCCGAAGCGCTTACAAACAGCGCGAATACAGCACTTCCATCAAGCGCACGCGTTTGCTCCGAGTGTAAACAGGTATTTACGTGGCTCTTGCTGACACTCGTAGTTCAAACGTATCTTTTTTAACGTCGGCTCGCTCCTGCATCTCCGAGGCCGCGAAAAACGCCATCTACGTCGCTTTGCAAACGACTGACACGGGCCGGCCCTTCTGCCAACAATGACGGGGTGGTTGACTTCTGGAGTCTTCACCGGAAGACTCGCTGCACTTCCCAACAGGCATACCGGCGTATGGGACTAGTCCCATGCTGTCGCTGTAGCGCAACATATCTCATTGAATTTCGCTCAGCTGCAATGCAGCGATGAGAGGCGCCGATTCAGGAAATACGTCGGTGACATCAGCGCAGTAAAACCTACCGGCGCGCCCCAACTCGTTGCCGCTAACTCTCCCATTCTCCTACTGCCGAGAGAACTTCCGGTTCCGGAAACGGCCTATGTCACGGCTTGTTTTGCGGTCAGTTGGAGAGAATGAAAAAGTCGATATTTCAATAATTTTTTGTGTAGAAGTTAATAAACCGAGACGAAAACGGATGCCTGTTCGGCATTCAGTGAACATTGACGGTTTTAATGTAAAAGTTATCTGGAAAAAGTAAAAAGGTCATTTCATGGTCCCTTTAAAGGTGCCCTGCAACAACTTTTTGACTGGTTTTTAATTTGCACCGAACCTGAGTGCACTGAACGTAGTAACTTAAAGAAACTTTTCTCAAATTTCGCTTTATTTTAAAAGTTATAGGCAAATTAGAATTACAAAAACAAGCAACAAATAACCTCCTTCATGACGTCGTAGGTCCTGGCTTGAGTGGCCGTAAACTAGAGGAGGAGTAGTGAGCTCAACGAGCGCTCACGGCTGCCGCACTCCGTGTTGACGGCTCGAGAGGGCGCCACTAAAGCATGTGTTGGATAGGCTGGATCAGAGCCGTTTATACTGAGAGAGTTTGGCCGATGGGCGGAGCTTGTTGGCCGCTAGAACCAGCGGATTTCGCGATAACACAATATGGCGTTACTTCTTTGTCTTGTTCATTCCTGTGAAATCGCGTAGAGTTCCTATGAGTCAGATCCACAATATGGCGGACGGAAGTAGTCATCCCCCGGTTGTCAGACTACGCTGCTGTGGTTGTCAGACTGCCAAAATCTCCTTAAGAAGGCCAAACTCTCTCAGTATAAACGGCTCTGGGCTGGATGAAGCGGGCGTCCAGGGCGGCTTGCATTGCATTTGCTGCACGATTAGACTAATTCGGCATAACACTTCATTGGCCACAAATGACAGCAAACACGGAGTAAAGATAAATTCAGAACGGGAGCCACTTTGCACTGCCATATCACCAAATGGCCAAATCGTCAGCCAAGCCCGCGCCGAAAGCCTTCGGAACACTCGGATCCTCGAGCCGGTATACGACCGCAGCACCGCCGCGTACATCCGGGATCTTTCTATGCCCGCCGTTCGTCGGAGCGTCATCCCACTAGCCCTTTCTAGTATGCGCCGTTTTTTCCACCGCTTGGTGGCGGGTTTCTCGATGGGTCTTTTCTTGTTTCCGTATTTTATAAACTGCATTTGTTTCTTTTCTGATTTAAAATACTGACAAAAGCTACTTTCATACATAATTAAAACGGTTCGCGACACTTGTATTTTGTATCTCGACTAAAAAAAATCTTTTAGCGGCTCTGACCAGTAGTAAGCCCAAGACCAAAAACGTCACATTTTGCGTGCTTTCGGCAACGTGGGTCGCCCTCGTAGGTGGAGGAGGTTTCCGCGTCGTCCAGTTAAAATATGACTCACTGATATTCAGTTACTCTCTCCGTGCCCGCTGGCTTGCCCGAACCCCAAGAGACGTGGAAACCGCAAAAAAGGCAGACGCTTAAATATGATTGCAGGGCCCATTTAAGAGTAAGGTATTTAAATGTCCAACACTAAATTTCCAGACATTTCAAAAGCAGCGGCTGGGCGCTTACTGCGACATGGGTACATGCCCCGTACTCTACGATTGGCTTACAAAATCGACAGACAAGCATTGAGACACGTACGGCATATTCCCCGGGCTTGGCATTCATCATCCTGGTCTTCATCACATCCAAAGGTTGTGTCAGTGTTGTTGCAATTCCAGCCTGGAAACGGGACAAGTTTGGCTTAACGAAAAGTACCCGAGCACGATAGTTCACCAGAATTAATCAGCGCAGATTGCTTCTTTTCGGTCTTAACACGTGATCAGCTCCTCCATTCGTCGAGTTCCCTACGTAAATTACAGCGATCGGCTTTCTTAAGTACCAAGTGAGAAAGTGGATGCTCCAGATTTTAGTGTGTAGGAAATTAATGGGCCACAGTTATGCATCCGTGGCTGGCACAGGTCTCTTACTTAAACAGGATAAACGCCTGGGGAACACTCGAGGAATCTCTGGAGAACACCCGGGTCCCTAGTAATCCAGTTCAGGAACCCATGTTCCAAAGCATCGCCCGAAATTAGACGCTCGCTCAAAGCTCATCTTTGAACAACGGCAAAACGTGCAAGTAGAGGGGCCTCTACTCACAGCCATGAGGCTTGCGCTGAAGTGGGTCGTCAAGTTGTCTTCGAAGAACCTCGTCAGGAGAAGCGTCTGCTTGATCTGTTCGTAGAATGAGATCTGCGAGGCAAAGAGAGAAAAGTGCGCACAAACGTTAAGGCAAAGGTCAACAGAGGCCACGCACGTGCAATGCGTCCTGAAGAACGCACGTCTAGGGAAGGTGGCAATGTCAGGCAATCTGTTTGTACCATGCTCAAGCTGCAAGCGAACACTTCAAACATATCTGAGTATTGGTAGAGAGAAAGAGAATAAACTCTTTTGTAAAACTGAAGATGGTAAAAAACAAAAAAAACAACAAGATTGGAGTTCCATTTATTGTAGTTTTATTGGAAAAACTAGTTTGCATAAAAAAATTGGGTATGCGTGTCATAGTTTACAGATGCAGGGGGAGCTTCTCAAGGATTAGTACGCCAGATATGAAAATGGTTTTGTGATGTTTTTAAGCTTTTTAACTAAAATGGAAGGGTCAATCGTATGTTTCAGAGGCAATTAGATTGAAACATGTGAAGTCACCTTGTTCGTGTCAGAACTGTCTTTCATAGACAAGTGCGCAAGCTCTCTATTGCCTTTTGTAGCTCTCCAGAGATGACCCAGCTTGCGATCGTGCTTGTAATTGCAATGCAAACTAGAATCATTCAAGGTATACCTGGATGCTTTGGATCGGCTAGTCACACAAAGTGGGCAGATTGGGTGGACCCCCGCCACAACTATATGTCAACCGTTCTCAATCTGACAGTGACTACATAGATCGTCCCGCAACTCTAGCGACTCCAAGACGCCCAATCACCTGTCCGACAGTCATGAGGACGGCCCTGGCGGTTGCCGTGGATCCTCCGGAGAAAAGCTTGGTGAGCCCTTCCTGGCGGTACACCCTCCACAACCCGTCCAGGGCATTTTTGTAGCTGTCGATTGAAAAAACACAAATTGAAAATATGACAGAAAATTTGTCCCGCTTTATCTTAGGCATGGATCAAACGGTTTCGCTGCTGACGTTGTCTGAAGCAGATAAGGACATATTTAGTCTACTTCCTTCGTCAGTTATACACTTTTAACTATAGCCGGCAATAGGTTCAGAACCCACTTCATGATCTGCCTTCAGCACATGCTCACTGCCTTATGCTAGGCTTTGGCGGCACGTAGGTTCAAGTGCTATCAAAGGTAGAAAGCTCCTGCACGAGGCAGACCACCTACTAGGTTCTTCGTTTTTCATCGACTAGTTTCATAACCGCATAGATCGTCGTATAACGACATCGTTGGGCGGGCATCAACGTCCCAACACATGTTTTTTATGCACAATAATCGAGGCAACTTCGCTGTTCACAAACCCATAAAATAAACGGATGATAACAAAAGAGACAGACTCACTTTCTTCGGCTCTCTTTCGGGAGCTTGATGTCATTCTGCATTCTGAAACGAATAACCACGAAGAATGAAAGATTGTAAAAGTTTTGTACGGGTATGAACTACTTTTCCCTCCTCCTACCCCATCGTTTCAATGGACCTTTTGCCCCATTACACAAGTGCAAAGGAGAATGCAGGAGGCCGAGGTATATGTGTTGCACGTGCTTGCGTTAAATGTACGAAAAACTCAAGTGAATAGCCAAAATGAGGCCACTTGTTTCAGGTTTTCACTTTAGGAGGGGTACTGCATAGTCATCAGCAGGTTCAGTGTACGTAACTACACTTGAAGCTTGCTCCTCGGTGCTTGGGTAATTGATTAAAAGGCCTACGTAATTGACCGGAACTAGCCTTTTGTCTAAACGTGGTAGTTTCTGGAAAAGTGATTCATATCTCTCAAATTAATTGTGGCTTCCAAAGCCTTTTTTTTTCCTCATAAAGGGAATGATTGCATCTATGCGACATCACGATTAGTGGCCAGAATATTTCTTCCCGACAAATAATTTTTTGAGTGCTTGTCAGAATAGTACCTATATAACTATTTTATCGCCACATTTGCGCTGCGAGGCACATTAAGAGTTGGGGAGCGAAACCGAAACAAACTTCTATATAGTGTTTTAAGACGTCAACCTCAAAACAAGTTTTCGGGAAGTTGTAATTTCGGTCAGCTAATTCAGGTGTGTCTATTAACGTGTTGAACCGACTTCGAGGCAAACCAGAGACTGTCTAAATTTTGCCCTAGCTCCCGTTTCAAGCGTCGGTCACTCTCGAACTCCACAAAGTGTTTCTCAGCGACGAGCCACAGGCAGCATAGTTGCTGCCAGCAACACCGGCGTAAGAGATCGGCAAAGCGTCTTCAGACACGGACGGGGGCGCACCTGACGTTCACCATGTCGGCGGGGGTGCCCACAAAACCGCCAGACGCGCCGGCAAACGCCGCCAGCCCCACCTTCTGGTAGAACTTGAGGTTTTCGCCTGGCTTTACCACGACCTGGCGAACGACTTCGTAGATGCCGAAGCGCGTCGTCGAATAAGTCAACTGCAAAGACGAGCGAAAATAATTTATTCATTAAGCGGAAATGTTTTTCAACGAACCCCTCCTCCCGTCCCAAAATTTTTTATGTCTATGAATTTCCTGATCAATTTAGTGGAGAAAGGGACATCAAGTGACTAATGAACCAATTTAGTCTCCACTCTAAATTTAGTGGGCAACCTCGCATCACGTGACCTACAGATCAATTTGGATTCCCCGCTAAACGTGGCGGGAAAAATCTATGTAATGCGACCCGACACCACGTGACCTTTACGCCAACTCGGTTTGCCCGCTAGATTTGGCGTGAAAATTGCCGCCGCGTGACCCGCCGTGATGGAAATTGATGTCCCTGAAATGACCGTTTTGTGTCGTCAAATCAAATTTAAACATTCGCTCCTTAAAGGGATACTACAACAAAATTTTGGCGCTCATTTTTTGGTCTATATGTGTTCAAAGAAGCAGCATCACATCAAAGATACTAATATCTTGTTAAACAAGTCACGAAAAGGAATTTTAAAACGAATTAAAAGATTAGCAAAGAGCACCTGGTGGATGTCGCTAACGCCTCGCTTGTAATGCCCGTCTAGGAACCTTGACAGCTAGTGACGGAGGTTGTCTCGCCTCCGGCCACGACGAGAGAAGGGGGGGAAGGAGGAACTCCCCTCTTCCCGAGAATGCCTTTTGTGAGTCGCAGAAGTCGCTATTGTCCCCCTACAAGATTACAGAAGATTAACCCGTCACTCAAAATTCGTACAAAAGCAGCCGCTTCGGTGGCTGGAACGACTAGGCCATCCTCTCGACGTCAGCCTCGCCGTAGCTTTGCTCGTACTGAGACAACCTACGTCACGATTGCGTTGGATGTCACGTGGTCTCCGCTGGGCCTTCTCTGAGCACTTGCCAGAGTGGGCCGTTTATAACAAAAAATACAGCCACCAGGCTCAAAGTACAAACATGCGATTGTCATTTACGGATATTGTGGATCATATTCAACCTATTTTTGAACACGACGGGAATATTTAAAATTTCGTTGAAGTATCCCTTTAAACGCTGCATGTCATGCATTATATGACTGTGGAGATGAGGGCAGCTGCCAATTTTTCTATTTATTTATTGAATTATACCCTCAAAGCTCAAAGGCACTTAAGATAAGAAGAGCACACACCCAAATGAAAAGGCAGTAGCCAACTTTAAGAAATGTACAGTACTAATAGGATAACAACAAGCAAACAGGTCATCGATCACTGAAAAAAAGGCTAGCCATGGCACCTTGGAACACATTAGATTGTGGTGTTTCCTAAACAGCACCCCTGCATACTTTCGATCCTTGCAGAAAGGTCAGTGGTTCTTTCAGAAGCAGAGCCTCAGGCACTCTGTGTTTTGTTACTCGTTAAAAGTTGCTGGTGTCACTCGGCGCTTATTTCGTTCTGGTAAAATACTAAGCGTCTTCCGGTGACCGGTTTACTTTCCTTCCATCCACACGTCGAAAGCTCGCCAAGAAAAGTGAAGCAACCAAAGCCTGTCTAGAAACATTATGCCTTTCAAACACTCCACTTCCCTTGACCCTAAATCGGAGTGCAGTCAAAGGCTAGAAGACGTACCAACACAGAACATACAGATTAAAAATGCAAGGTCAAGGCAGCTCTCATGCTTTTGACTGATACAGCCAGTGAGAGCAAATGCATAGAGAGATGACCGTGACATTTTGGCAAAAAATATATAGATAATATTGCAGATAAAATAAAAAAAAGAAGTCAGTTTTCCTTTTGCATGGAGCTCGCTTGCCATGCAAAACCTACTTGGCCACTTTCTAGATTTGTGTCATTATACGACAGCTCCTCACGACGACGTCTCATCATTGATTACAATGCACCACAATCGATTAGAGTCCCATGGCTCGTGCATACTAGGCCACGTGATAGTTCAGTTTACGTGCCAAATTTAGCGGGAAAATTGACCGACTGTGACTCCTTCAACTATGTCTGCAGCTATTCGCTTAACTAGACAGCAACATAGCTGGCTCTGCTCAAATTTTTCATTTAAAGTATTACTTTTTATTGTGTGGGTCAATTTCTGATTTTTGTTTCCCGTTCTTGGGTCTCTGTGTTGGTGCACCAAAGAAAAGGCTGTCGTGGTTGCATTTGGGTACCCAAAGATAAAAATTATTATTATTATTATTATTATTATTACGGGCAGACAAGCATAGAGGTAAGGTACGATTGTGAACATTTTTACTAACTTTTTGTGACAAGTGCCAACACATCAATATAATCTCTCTAACATTTGAATTATTGTAATGTACATAATGCCCCAATAGGTCAGTGAACACAACCGGGCCGGCACAATGTGCATCCAAACCAAAACAGACAGGCATTAGATTCGCTTTCAAGGCCTTGAAGTCTCGAGCACGAGCTTCGAGAAGACAGCACCCCCACCTGTCTCAGAATGGAGGCACTCAGACCGTTGTACATCGCCAGGACGCCCTGGTTCTTCACGATGGCCACCGTGCTGCCGACGAGGGTGACGCGTCCAACAGACTGCGTCTGCAAGTGCACCTGGAAGGAAGAGTGGTTACGGAAACGACTACAGCCGACGCCACTCCTTACGACACCGCAGATCTCTTGCATGCCTACCACCAAGAAGAATCCGCAGATCTGTCTTGGCGTACATCGACTAGGGGGCCCGGGATAAACAGACTGCACTGTAAAACCGACTCTCATCTGCTCTAGAGCCACGAAATAAGCTACGCCTCAGAGTAATGGCAGTTCGGCAATCTTGGTGTTCAAAACGATTACTGCTAGTTATCTGAAATCGCTGAAAATGTTTTTCTGTCCTCCTGAAATATTAAACCGGTCCGCGAAAGAGCGAAAAAATGTTGTCCGAGCTTTCTGACATTGTAGCTAAACCCTGGGAAGTCGCATTTTCTAATTGTGACAATTGTTAATTCCATCTGCTCTGTATGAAGCCCCAAAATGGCGGCACCTAGATGGTAATCGAAATGAAATGCACAAATTCAATGCGTGGCATATCTAGTAGCTCTAGAGCGCCCTACAAATAATGTCAAAGAGTTTGCTTCTTTGCACTCGGCAGTGCACTAAACAAACAATGCAGCAGTGGGAAATCTGCGGCACAGAATGTTGTACGGGCAATCAAATCTGAGGCAATGTAACATAAAATCTCCTGTCCTCATGCACAAGCTTTGATATCAGTGGACTCTTAGAAAGTACTAACACCATTCTCAGTGTAAAGGGAGAGCGGTAACATAATCTTGTGTATGGGCTCCCTATCCTAAATTAAGAGTTAAAATCCATTAACCGAACAAAGAAAAAATCCAAAATAAAAACATTTGAAGGCCATGAGTTCCCAAGGGGAGGTTGCAAAAATGCAAGTCATGCTGCTTGGAGCTACTGTGTCTCTTCTGGTGGATCCCGAGACAGTAAATGCATGGCTCATTGAAGAAGTCATGCATCACAGGCCATGCAAGACGCATGCATAGTGGAACGAGCTGCCCTAAAAAGCGACCACCCATCTCCAGGTGGGATGCATAAGTTTAACAGTCAATGAAGCATATCTCAGCATCTCAGTTTTGCAAGCACCTTCTGCATAGGGTGCTTTCAACGATTTGAATCGCTGAATGTCCTCCGGAATGCTAGTTGCCATAGCTTAGTAAAGAAATGTTGCGGTAGCAATCTGTAACATCAGTTGTCAAAGAGCAAAGCTTGGCCTACTAACAAGATTCTCTAAGTGCAAGTCACCCTCTTCCTGACTAAGCTAGAAACAAAACAAAAATCTACTGTAATATCCTAGGAGATATGAAGATATTAGATTCTATGTCAAGGGAAGCCATATTGGCTTTACGTTTTGCCCAAGGCTGAAAATAAAATGTAACCTCCGGGAAACAGGGTCAGCAATGTGGAGGTATGGCCAATAGAAAATCAAAACTGGGCGTTCCTAAATGGCATAACGCTTCTCAATGCAGATAGGGAATCAAATCTGCGCTCCAAAGCTTTCGGACATAAAAAATATTTAAAGGGATTCGATGATCCTCAACAAATGTCCTGCTAAAACTACTCGTTGGTTTCAAATTTATTTATTACAGACATGTTAGGCAGGTTTTTGGTAGTCCCCAATATGATGCCAACCTACTATGTGCAGAATGTATGTCTTTCATTGGAAAGTGATGGTGCACATCTTTGGAAATATTGCATAGTAGACTGGGAGCAGAAACATCCTGTTGCAGTGTTGCCGTATTATGTGCGATTCCCCAGAGTGTGGGGAACACAATATCTCTTAAAGGTAAAGAAGGTATCAAATTTAATTAATAGAACATATAGAAATATTTTCAGTGGATGACACGCAGGCTTTCATCCAGGGTTTGAAAATTGACATTACACTTGGAAACACGCAGGGATGGGCAAAATACATGCAAATATCTATTGAAATACAAATACAAAATACTTTGCCAAAAATGTATTTAATTACAAATCTAATTACATTTCCAAAAAAGCATTTAATTACAAGATACAAATACAAACAAATGTATTTGGTCTCCTCCAAATACTTTTCCAAATACATTCCTCAAAATTTGTGTCAGCGACTTCAGAGCACCTGCAAAGGGTTTCTGGGTATCTCATTTTAATTTTGCATCGCACACTCGTGAGTTAGTGTGCGAGGCTCTAGTAAAGTAATAGAGATATAATCACAGAAAAATGTAATCAGCTTGGACGTAATAGGTGAAAAAAGTACAGAGCTTCAAGCAGCTTTTTTTGTCGATTACATTTTGGTATAGACCAACAAAGAACCGATACGACCAAGACGCGCGGCCCTAGCTAGAGAATTTCTTATTGTTGCAACTCGCACCATTTACGAAAATCTGGACGACCCCCGCATTTAGAATGTTCCAGGCAAAAATATGAATGGAAATCAGGCTGGAAAGCATCACAAGTTGTCACAGGCACTTATTTAACCAGTCTGCCTGTGAACATCGATTTCGTCACTATTCTTGCCCTGGACTAGCACCGCGATCACAAAGTCACTAAACGCTTGTGCTTGATTGAGAGACTGCATTCGGTGCAGAACATACTTTTCTTTCTGCTCTGGACAGTGACAATAAATTTGAGGGATGTATTTTCGCCCACAAAATTGTATTTAATTACAACTGTATTTGGAATACCCGAGTTTTAGTATTTAAATACACACGTCAAATACATTACCCAATTTGTAATTAAATACAAATGCAAAATACACAAAGTATTTGAAATACATATTTCAAATACTTGTATTTGAAATACTGCCCAACCCTGGAAACACGGTTAATTGAAGCTCCAGGAATAGCCCCCAGAGGTTGGAGACTCCACGAGCTCCAGACTCGTCAAACAGAAAGCTGAAGCCCAAAGTTCTCGGAGCGTGCCAATTAGACCTTGGCGACAAAACCGCGCCGCCATCGTTGCGAGTGCCCAATCGGTGCACTCCGTAAAATTCAACACCAACTTTCTGTTTTGGCGAGTCTAGGGCCCCGGCACTGAAAGCCCAGCTAAACTTACAATCAAACTACGCAGGTTGTACGGCCCATGTGCAAATTCAAACACTGAATAAAAGAAAAAAAATGACGGACTACAGATGCCTCTGGGGGCCGCAAGCATATTCCGATTCAAATTCGAAATCCACAAACAAAGTTCGAAGCAGACCTTTAGGAGATCGAGGGGATGAGTCACACAGGCAGCCATCGAGCCTGCCAGGCCCCCAAAGTACCATCTGGCAAGACGGACTTGCTGGAGTGGCGGTTGAGACTCCATTTCGCAGAGCCTGCGAAGAAAGAAAGACAGAACGCAAATGACTCGGTGCATTCCAGACATACTTCCTCAGAACACTCGTTTGCTTCATAGCAAGGGCGATTTTTGTGCAACCTTTAAAAGAAAAAGAAAAAAAGAAAACGAAAAAAGAGGAGAAATGCTTTGTATTCTTTATGAACATTTAAGTTAGCTCTAGAAAAATAAGTTATTCCACATATTTTTAAACATTTTACGGAGGGCGTCAGGTGAGATCATCGCACATTTATCTAGCACAAATTTATTGTCTGTAAGTGAGAGATGAAGGTGTCCAGCTTGTCTAAGTCTTTGCGCACTGCTTCTCTACAGTGCCTTAGTGGTGACATATTATTGAATGATTTTTGGGGCATCATTGCTTTGGCGACATCATTGAATGGTTTAAGAGCTACACGATAAACAAATAGCTGTATTGGTACATATGGTGGCGACCTGCCAATAACAGGTATTTGCAGTAACCCCGTCCCCTCAGTTTCGGGTTTGGGATACAATACCGATAGATATATTGCCACTAGTTACACACTTAGCAATGGGAGTTTTGTCAGGGAGCAATTAACACTGTTACGACCTTACGAGACCGATGAGAGAAAAGTATTTTGATACTGTGAAATACTAACAGCTTGTTTGATTGGCGGTTGCTTTCAGTGAAATCACATAATTGTGGAGCAATGCCGGAGAGCTCGCACACAAAATAAACAGTAAAGGAACCAACCTTTTAAGTGCTGTCCAAACAAAATTCACTCGAAAACAAGCAATCTAGCGTTTCATTCGCGAAAACAACCAGACACTCGGTCCCTGCGCGAAGAGTAGTACACAATGACTTTTCGAAACCTACAAACTTATCAGTATTATCGTGAAAAGAATCCGACACGCTATCAGTACACAAAATTGCGGAACGCGAGATTAAAGACTTGGTGGCCTCCACTTGGCCGAAGGAAAATTGCTACCGTTTCGATACGAATATCAGAGAAGAACGAGAAAGTAGGAGCCCTTCCTGCAGGCTCAACCAGTTTCCTTACACAGTTCGACAACGTGTTTGGAGCGAACGCAACCCAGTCGAAAATAGGGGTCAAGTTCCCGAAGGCGCCGGTGTGGGGAAATAACTGAAACTATGAGAAACCGCACGCCGGTCTGAGTTAGCATTTTGAGCCAGCTGTGCTAGGAAGGTTCGGTAGACCTTACTCCCGTTCATTGCGAGTCAAATATGGAGATTTCCATGAGGCTATGCCGGTATATGTATGCACACATCGCTGACAGATGTCTGTCGAAACGGAGATCTACGATGATTTTAACTTACGTTCACGCGTCGCTGCGATGCGATAGCGGCAGAATTATCTTTCTCAGCGTTTCTGGGAGCACATCCTGTCTCTGCAGCTGCTATTTCCTCTTCCAGACAGGTAGCGTAAAACCCATTTCGCCGTAGACGTTGTGTCTGCCTTGCTGCCGGCGGCTGTAGCCAGCTGTAGCTGTAGCAGAAGGAAATTTGATGGAGGGGAAAGGCGGAATGCAGAATGGCTTTCCGGTCTTCTAACGACGACCGAGCTATGCGACCGAGGCGCCATTCGTGCATATAACGTTTTCTACACTTACCAGGTGGCGTTAGGCGTCAACCATGTAGAAGACAACGTTGGTAGAAGGCAACGTAGAAGGTTTGAGAGGTGAACAAACTTACCATCGAGCATTTATTTCCAACAATAATTATTTGCAGAAAAGTAGTAGTCTTTGGCTTTAAAGCAGACGTTAAAATGTTTGTTTAGGCAGCGAAAAGTCTGTGAGCTCATTAGGAACCTTCGGACATGACGATGGTCTCACGTCAGATAGTCACATTATCTGTTCGACTTTATCACTTTACCATTTTAGTTACCTTACGCTGTAGCTGAGTAATTTTGCCAGTGCAGCAGGACTGCTAATATGGGGTCTTTGACCTGCATCAGGCAGACCCCCGTTACATCGGTATTAAATAATGTAACTTATTGTACGGAGCTCGCATCGAAAGAGCAATGGGGCCATCTGAAAAAAAAAAAAAAAAAAAAAATATTTACATTGAAATATAACTTCTCATAAAAAGGGTAAAAATATTTCAATAAATATAAAAACAAAGGATAAAAAACATATTTGTCAGAAGTGGGATTCGAACCCACGCCCGGAAGACCGGACTGCGACCTGAACGCAGCGCCTTGGACCGCTCGGCCATCCTGACAGACGAGAAAGAAGGTCGCCTGAGGACAACAAGTACTGAAAGTCCTTGAATATGTACTCTGAGGAGGGGGCACGTTGCAGCTTTGGTGAAGCCTAGTTATAAAAAGTTGAAATGACGTTGTGGCCAACGTGACCGTAAATTTCTCTGGCAATTGGTGCGCGTAACATGTCACGTGTGAGATGGATGGTTGATTGTTAAAGGGTTCCTTGCAGGCTTGCGCGCGCTCCGTTCGGTAGGATTTATCAGACCGAAGGCTAGACGCGAAGGCTAGCTATGGTCATATGATGTGGTCACGTTGGCCTGAAAAGTGAGGAGAGAAAGGAGGAAAATGAGAAAGAGGCGAGGCGTCAAGGGAGCATGGCTTGTAGCAGGTGTTGCTTGTAGCGGCTACGCGGCTGACGTCACGCCCTCTCCTACTCCTACCCTTCTATCCTCCTTACTTGTGGGAGTGAGAATGGGCGAGTCACCATAAGGCCGCAGCTCTCCTCCCGTGACGTCACAAAGAAAGGCCTATGTCTGCCGTCGGGTGCAGAGGCAGAGAGCGAAAAAAAAAAAAAAAGGAATTGCGTTTAGATCAACCGCCAAAGCTATTAGCTTTTATTATCAAAAGCTTAACTTAAATCTGTGAACATGAATCGGGTAAGAAAGTGTATTATACTGGGAATGCAAAAATAAGGCGCCTGTGGATTACGTCTTGGGAATGATGGGCTTGATTTTAATGCAGAGACTTTGAGTGATGAAATTATTGCAAAACAATATAAATGTTAAAATAATATTAATGAAATGGCATTATTTGCAGTGTTGGGACACAACAAAGCAAATCCCAGCAACAATCGGGTGCACGAAGTTAACGCCTGGACACGGCAAAACGGATCACACAATTGATATCGTGGTGGCATTATCAACTTCTCTGGTCGCTTAAAATTATCGCTCGAAGCTAACAGATTTAACTGGAATATTATTACACGAGACGCAAAATTGCACCAGACAGCGGGGAAAGTTTATGCACCAAACAAGTGCGCATAAGCGCCTACACGTGCTTATGCAAGACTCTCACAACTGCCTATGCAGTAGTAGCATGAGTTATACTAAAAGGGCATCTAAGGACTGTGGTTATACCTTTGGTTGTCAAGGCACTTAAAAGGCCTTTAAAGTGCGGACGGAACTGACGTCATCGGCTGTCTTGATGCCGCGGGTGGTGCATTGCCCAGTTTTATGTTGTAGACCTAATAATTGTCATTCCACCAAAAACAAAACATTTCCTAAAAAAAAAAAAAAAAAAAATTCACTGATAAATTTATTCTTGTCCATGGATGAAGAAGAGGGTATTCGCAGACCTAGAAACTAGAATGTTTTAGATTGGTGTTTGGGTAGTACACCTTTCTGTCGCTTATCGTCCAGGCGAAAAATGCCGAGTCACTGTGCTGTGAACGCATGTGCGGCATCTGGTATCGCGCAGAAGAAAACGACTGGGCGTGCTCAGTGCATGTTTCACAGCCCAGCAGACTAAGATGGCAAAAATGGTAGCGTGCAGAAGCGTTGAAGAAGTCGATATCAATTATGCAAAGGATCCCTCGGGGTAGTTTGGATTACGCACTGTGCACTTTGGAAGGCGATAACCCTGTCTTTTGGAGTACTTCGAGTTGTCGACTGGCTGTGCATATCTCATCATTAGCCACAACTTTACGTTGCGCAAGGGTCTTGCAAGCCGTCGGTTCAGACGTCTTGCTACACCTTTGGACCTTAACCCCTTGGACAGGAAGTCAGTCGCAGGGTCGGCACAATTAAAGATTAGGTGTACCCAGAACCTGTCGCACCTCAGCAGTTCTCTGTCTGAAGACTCCACCACAGAGACGGTCCCGGTTTTTTTTTTAGCAACGAAAGTTTCGGAAGAAATGTCGGACTTTGTGTGGGCAGCGCTGATCGTCGTCGTCCTCACGTGGTTATACTTGTGAGTATAAAAGCAACTGCGCCTCGTACCGTATACGGCGAGCGAGTGTTCCAAGGTGAAGCCCCTTGATATTTCTTTTACAAGTAATGACAGCCAATACAAATGACAAAGCATATTCCGCTGGAACAAAATGGCGGCATTCAATTCAAACCTCGGCTGTGCGCCGCCATTAAAATCTGCACCGTCACGCAGTCGGCGCGTCAAAGAATGTCGCTATTTGTAGGAATCTCTTAGGCACTTTATTCCAAGGTGCGTCTTTGGCGTCTCGGAACGCGAGGAGAGTCGGGCCAATCAAAAGGCAACATGGCGCAGGGAACGCACAATGACGGGGCTTTCAAACGTGCGCTCTCATTGGTTGACGTCGGTAAGAAAACGAAATGACGTGGTCGTATTTGGCGTGTAGGCATGCAGACGCACGAGGTACGCAAAGAGAACAGAAACTTGCACACCGTATGGGCACCGACAACTTGAGAAACGAAGCACGTGACTTGCTATGTTCAAGAGTCTTGCTTCTTGATTCGTTCGTCGGCGTCCTTATCGGCTAATGTCGCATTCTGACTTGTCCCGCGATATAAAACAATCGGGACTCGCTATGCCCTGCGTTTCAGTGACCAAACTATACGTCATAAACCCTTCGCCGGTACTGCGACATCCACAAGTAATATATCCGCCAGTACCGATAAATCGAGAGGAAAAAAAAAAAAGAATGCGCAACAAAAATATTGTTGTTAGAAAAAAGAAACACTCACACATACACACATAAACATGGTTACCCGGTACTTGAGTGAAGCCATTGAAAGAAGAAGGTTAGAGGTATAGCTTCTCTGATTTGAACGGTAGCACTTGGCCAGGTCGTCCTGTCCCGTTCTGTTTCTTCGACTTTTATGTTTTTTTCTACCCCAGTCTCAGGTATATTCAACATGGTTAACATCCACCAGCTCGCCTGCACCCTTACTGTTGTATCTTAACTAAATGAACGACTATTATTACTGCGATCGAAATATACTATAGGTATGAGGTGCATGCATACTCTTGGACAGTGGTTCTCAACCACTAATCTATCGGAGATTCCTTCTGAATCAACAGAAGTGATGGGAGGACCCCATTTAACAGGGAAGGAGGACCTAGGGTAATGGACGATTACCATAACAAAAGTGTAATTGAAGAAAACTAAATGCATGCAAGCCAACTTTGAGGCTCTGAAACGGAGAATAATCGACTCTTCTCACTCAGTGCATGTGGTCGGGCCTATTTGGCTTTGTGGGTCAACCAGCATCAGTTGAAAAGAAAAGTTTTACTGATCGGCTTGACTGACGGTCTAAGGCTTCGGGACCCCAAGGCGGACTTCAAGGATTCCCATTTGAGAACCTATGTACATTGCACGTTCTTGAAATGGGTACGTTGTACGTTCTTGTTTAGCAATGCTCATGCTCCACTCAGCGCGAAGAATTTTCACCGAAAGTCGGCAATTAGTATGGCAGTTTTACCATAGACGTCTTCTGCTTTCCCTCCTTTTTCTATGGTTGTCATGCTCGGCGCGGTGTTCTCTCGAGCTGCCATCTGTAAAAAGCTACCATGCTCAGTTCATAAAGTGTACTTTTGATTTTGTATCTTACTTCGGCAGAGATGCAACAGTGACGTGTTGCCCCTCTCACGGTGGTGCCACCCTCGGCAGTACACCGTACTTATATAGATACCCTATACTCCATCTCACAAGCATCTGCAGTGCAGGCAAAGTCACGGACACGAGCGCGTGGCTTTGGAAAGTGCCTTCTATGCACGAGCTCTCGTACAAACAAAAGCATACTCAGCTAGGCTCACGCGCTTGTGCCCTTGTCTTTACTGCATACATTTGTGAGGTGGAGTGTGGTCGTGAACGTAATCACGCAATCGTAAAGAGCCAACGTAAGGTTGAAGAGTTGGCCACGTAGGTACCGCCGAGTTGTTTATTCACACGTTTGCGTGTAAGATGCCGCGCTATTGCGCGGCAGAGAGTTGCTGCAAGAGTGTGCTGAACTGCGAGACGCCACCCACGGGTTTCCCAACCATGAGGAACTCCGAAGCGTGTGGATCCGTCTCGAGCGTCTTTCATGTGGTGCCGGCGAAAACCGATCGCCTGTACAGTGACCATCTTCGCGATGAGGGCTATGAAAGGCGACCCACTGTCCCCAGGAGTCTGGGTTTTCCTACCAAGAATATTCGGTTGCTACCTGGCTTTGTGCCGACTACTTTGTTTCCAAGAAAAGAGAAGCAGAAAAGCTCAGCGAACCGCACGAATTGCGAAGGAAACGGGTAAAAGTGAGCACGCTGTTAATAAAACACATAATAGCGATTACCTCCAAGTTGGCTAATCATGATTAAATGCGAGGCATTCCATGGGGACCCCAACCCCCTTCAGATTTTGTCGGGCGGACGGTCGGTCTGTCGGATGGTTCGTACGGTTCTAGCCCGAATCGCCTGTCCGTCACCGTGTGCGAGTATGACTATCACGTCCTCGGCTGACATAATCATAATCATAATCATCTTTATTTGCTCAGGAGAGCCGCGGCACCGCAGAAAGGCAACAGCCCGTACCAAGGAGGCCCGCGGTGCCGCGTCTAGTGAAGAGGATTATAGTTCTGATGATTAGGATATGTGTGTTAGGCCTAACAGCATTCTTCGCGGTTGTGGTCTTCGCGGTGCTGCCGTTGGCTGCTTACTTCTAGCAGGCCTGTTCCGAGTCCCCTTCGTAGTCGAAATCCTCGTCGCTCTCGAGTTCGTAGATCACGGCGGGCCAAAATGAATATGTCACGACGGTCGTCGTGCCGGTGGTGCAGTTTTCCGCCACTCCGAAACACGAGATTGTAACAGGCAAAAGTCAGCGCGTGGCGGCGCTTATAATCACGCCAGGCTTTGGCTGTGCGGAGGAGGCTGACATCACGATTGCGACGGAGTTCTCATGACTGGGGGTGTCGCGAACCGGCCGCGGTTCGAGTTCGACCAGGTTCGACTTAAAAGTTCGTCGACCTTGTATTGAGGTTCGACTCGTGTGCGCATGCGCGACAGGCTGGCCAGTTGGCTTCGGATTGGATGGTAATGGCTAAGAGATGAATCAAGTGCAGCGCTGATCGGCTATTTCAGTCAATACAGTACTAAAATTTAAGTTATTAACTTATTCAGTGAATAGAATTAGTTTCTTTTAATTGCAGTTGTTCACACAATAAAATACCCCTTTGCATAAAAAAAGAAATTCTCCAAACCTAGACGTATCAAGGTCTGGCCACACTGTCCACAAAGTCGACCCGGTCGAATCTGGTGAAAAGGTCGAGGGTTCGTCGAACCGGTTCGACCCAGTCGAACCCCGAAAGTTCGACCAAAAAATCTGGTTCGACAAAAGTTCGCGACATCCCTACTCATGACGCATCGCACGCCTCGATGGCCGATTTTGGAAGCGCTCGCTAGAATCGGACGCTTGAAACACAAAATATAGCCATCCGCTTAAAATACGAGCGTGTGATTGTCATTAACGGATAACACAAGTCATATTTCACCCATTTCGGAAAAGGTTTCCGTATGTTTTGATTGTCGTTTTTGTATCTTAATGTGAAAATAGATGTGATGTTACTCGGAAACCTTCCACTCGATTCCTTCTTTCGACCGTGGCCGGTTAGGAGAGATAAACAACCATGAGAGGGAAAATATTCATATCTGTTAAAGATGACGCGCAGACCCCCTAATCAGCAACCTTGGACGAGCGCCCTGCACTTACGTACCTTGCACCCCATAACGCAAGATGCTATTACCCGCTATAGCATAAAAGTAGCTGAGATTAACTTAATCAGCAACGGCTCCCGCGCTTTCCTCGGTGTTTTTTTCCCCCCCATAATACGAGTCGTTGGAGAGCTGAGTGATCGCACTGCTCAGTATACTCTTCTAAAGTTTTTGATATTTAATCTCCAATTTTCGCACTACCCGGACCCGCTCCTGGCAATAGGTAACATCTTAATTAGAAACCAGGCATTATTACTGCCAGATTTATGCAAATAACCTAAAGAAAGAGTCTGCCGTACTCAGAGTTGAGCCCTGCCCTAGTCACTTACAGTGACAGTTAAAAATTGACAGTCAATTTTATCTCGAAGATATTGTTAGGCATAAAATGCAGTATTTGAAGAGCGATCGTTTAAATCTGTTTAAAAAACATCAAACAGTCGTTTTGAGGAGCGAAGAGCCTATATCTTTAATCGTTTCCCTGCAAAGTTTAACAGGGAAGTTGACGTGGTACACAGATCACGCGACATCAATTTTTGCCGCTAAGTTTAGTGGAGAACAAAATTGGTGCATAGGTTGCACGACGTATTGTAACGGTAGATAAAATTTCCGCTAAATTTAGCGGGAAAACTAAATTGGCGTATAGTGACGTCAATTTCCCCCCTACATTTAGCCGGAAAACTGAATTGGTCCGCATAGGTCTTGTGTAGTCAGGTCATGTGACGTCAAGTTTCCGCCAAATTTAGCGAGGAAACTGAATTGGTGCTCAGGTCACGTGACGTCGATTTTTTCGCTAAATTTAGCGGGGAACTGAATTGTAAAAAAAGCAAACAGGCAAGCTAATTATTGTTACAGAAATTTAAAAAAAAAAGAAAATACAAAGAAAAACCGGAGACGTCGGACGAAGAAGGGGACAAACACAAAACGTCTCAACAAAATGAATTGGTCTGCTGTGAAGTCAGGTCACGTGGCATAGATTTTTCCGCTAAATTTAGCGGGGAAACAGAATTGGTGCTTAGGTCACGTGACGTCGATTTTCTCGCTAAATGGAGGGAATTTCGGAATAAGGAGAAAGGGGGGTTCCGCTAAGAAAGCATTTCATGCTTTAAAAACAACAAAAAAGGACAAAGGCCATGCCTTATTACGTTCTCTCTTCGGGCTTCGTGATTCGTGCTTCGGTGTCCTTATCGGATAATGGCGCAATCTCATTGGCTGCGGAGAGATAATGAGATGTCTGACACTCGTCACTTATC